CCACATCCCCTAGCTTCTGAAATGCCACGTGATCAATCCAGACCCCCTTTGGGCCCATACCACAGGGACTTGAAGTGGCTGGGAATGATAGCAGATATTGTCCACGTCCTACAATGCCACCCAGCACCCCATTATGCTCAGCATTTTAGTTGTTAGTAGGAAAAGCCAATTAACCAGGCACGAGATGTGATTGTTACTGAGGAAAACAATGCAGGGAGCATGCGCAGTGGACCATGCTGGTACGCTGCTCCATGGCTCAAGCTCCCTTCCTACCCATGTCTGATGCTTGGGCTGCATCCCATTGACGTCAAAAGTAACGTCAATCTGGTGAATAAAATAGAGTGAGTCACAGCATTTCTGTAGAGAACTGGCCTCTCCGCAATGTGATATAGAACATCCTAATTTCATAGAGCATTTTTCATAACAGCTGCTAACATCATAATCAAATCCCTCAAATTCTTTGAAAGGCTCCAGTCTGAAGCTATATTAGAACTGGTCTTAAAATGTGACCTTAGCGACGAGGAATCCCACCCATTGCAAACAGCGTTGTCATTTGCGACATCGTAACACCTCTGAATTTGGGTGGAGGAGTTGATTCTCTTGGTTCTGCTGTTCTCTTTGTCTTTCTTGGCTCCATTTGAGTCAGAGACAGATGGGCTGTTTTGGAGACTGGATAGTCTTGAAGCAAATATACACACAATCAGAGGAGGGAGGGGATGTTGCCATTTGATCCTCATGGACCACTGAGGAAGCACACTGGACAGGAAAGGAAGAGCCACGGTGTGGGGTTTAAGAAAATAGTGTTGTATTAGTGATTTGGATCTTTGAAGGGGAAGAATGATGGCGTGGCGTCACAACCAGCCATATCTGCATGGTGTTCTGAAAACACTGGGCCAACTGAATGCTTCCTGTTGTACTGCTGTCCACCACACTGTTAGCTAGTTGTTGTTGCTGTTGATGGTGATGATGGTGGTGATGGTTGCATGAAGTCCATTCCTTCGAAATACATACATAAATCCAAATAAGATCCTTCATGTTGCTCACCTCCTCCCGCTCCTGCCCCATCCTAAGTTCCATAAATTTGCAGACATAGACCTAGGCATGTGCAGAAGATTACTTGTGAAGTTTACTTGCTGACCTGAGAATGACATTCTGAAAGCAGCAGTGACTTCCAAGGTCTGAGCCCTGTCCAGTCCTTTCTACCGATTGTGTGGTGTGAATTAGTGCCAGGAAGCATTGAAGGGTTCATAGGAAAATGGAAACAGACAAGTTTATTTTGGTGCAAAGACAAGTTTATTTTTTTTTTCACATTTATTTATTTGAAAGGCAGAATGAAAGAGAAATCGTGCTCTTTCTTCTGCTGGTTCACTTCCCCTGTGGCCACAAAGGTAAGGCTTGTTTCAGGCCAACGCCAGGAGCCCAAACGCCATTCAGCACTTGGGCCACCTTCAGTGCTTTCCCAGGTGCCTTAGCAGGAAGCTGAATTAGAAACAGAACAGCTGCAACTTGGACTGGTGTGTATGTGATACCATTGTCAGAAGCAATGGCTTAATCTGCAAACTGTAATGCCATCCCCTGGTGCAAAATATATTGGAAGCTTGTATGTAAGAGAGGGTCTTCAAAAAAGTTCGTATTATAAGAATGCATAGTATGAGAAAACTGCATGCATTTCAAATTGTTTTTGCAACAAAATAACCATCTTCTAATTCTAGTTTTAATGAAAATTGCCCTTTAAAATTGCCCTTACATACAGTTTACTAACTTTCTCTGAGTTTTCTTATATGAAAATAAGATCGGGCCAGAATCCTGAGATCATCTTGAGTTGTTTATAAGTTGTGTTTGTTTTTCTTCCAGAATTAACTACAAATTACTGACATGGAATCCATGAATCACTGTTCTATCAAAGCTCTGAGATGTTTTGCTTTTAAACTTGCATGAGTTGCACGTGATGTGTTGTTGGCCACTTGGACAATGGATCTACTTTCAGGCACTGCTCTTGTCTGCAGCTGTCTGCATCTTTTAATAGATTAGACTTCATGTGTGCATTCAAGTGGTTTACACCAAGCCAGCTGATGTTAAAGCAGATGTACCAGGTTGCTGTTTGGGGCATTTTGTTTGATACCAGAACCTGGCAAATTGTTGAGCAGTTGTGGTGCCAGAAACCTCACAATAGATGGTCTGCACTCTTAGGTCTGGCCAATAAGTTGCTATAATAGCTCTTCACTCTGTCTGTTGAGTACCCCTTGTTGGAGTAGCTGCTTTAGCTCTGGAAGTAGGATGGCATGCTAGGTCTACTAAGGCCAGGACTTTTGCTATAGCATAGGTTGTCATCCCTTTTATTTTTCATGTTCACCACCATATGTGTAGGAGATTAATGAGAACATGACTCAGTGTATTCTGTGTGGAAGCAGATTTCCTACACTAGTCATGTCACATGCATTTTATAAACACTGAGCTCTCACAGTATTAAAGTCTCAGTGGAGTGGCATTTAGCCATGCTATTGTGGGCATTTGGGGAGTCAGCCAATAGATGGGTGCTTTCTCTCTCTCTCTCTGTCTCTCAGATAAACATTAATAAGTGAGTTTTTTTCCCCCAGATCTTACAATAGTAGCTTTACTAGCACTACCAGAATCAGAGTGATTAGCTTAGTCTTCCAGATATCCAAACACTGGCAGAACCCTAGCAGCTCACCTTCTGGAAAGCTGAGCTCCCAGAGGGGAGCAGGTATCCTGCTGTGGGATCTCAGGAGGTCGTTGTGTGTGTGAGTGCTTTCTGTCACAGAGCACCCATTCCAGATAGGAAGCAAAAGGTGTAAAATGTGCTTGTACTGCAGCATTACATTTTAAACAGAAACAGAACTTTTCAGAACATTCTCCCCCAGTCAGTATAACTAATGAATTCTTAATGGGCACCTGCAAATACAGACCTTATTGGAAGGAGAAAATTGAAGCAATCAAGGAGATCATTTTTCTTCTGCATTGACATGTTAAAAAAAAACCCTCCAAATTAAAAAATATTCAGTTGTTCTTTATGCAAATCCAAATTGTCTGACTTAAAAATATTCTCTCTGTTTAAGGTAGGAGATGCACGGTTTAAAGCTACTGTAAATATCTCCATGCATTGAGTGAGTCTCATGGGTAAAAATATGCTTAATTTTGTCTTTGTTAGAACCACACAGATGTTTTCTTCTCTTTCATTTTTATAAATTTGCATTTATTTCCATTGTGTTTGAAAGGCAGAACTGAAAGACAGGGACGGACAGAGAGATCTGTGGTTCATAGATGTGTGCAATACCCAGGCCTGTATCAGGTTGAAGCCTTGAGTGCAGGACTCAGCCTGGGTTTCCTATGTGAGTGACCGGGACCCAAGTGCTTGGGTCATCACCTGCTGCCTCCCAGGCTGCACACTGGCAGGAAGATGGATCGAAAGTGAAGCAGTCAGGACTCAAATTGTGGTATCTGGACATCCCAAGTGGTAACTTAGCCACAGCACCGCATGCCTAGTTTGCTTTTAGTAGTTCAAGTCCAGAAGCACTTAATTAGTCATTCTTCTAACATAACTTCCTATTGTGACTACCATCCTGAGGAGATGAAGTAGGTTTAATAATGATGCTATTTTACTGTTTCTGAGGAGTGATTATCCACGCAAATGTAAAGACTTAGAGATTTCCAAAAGGGATCCAGGCCAGGAATCCCTTCCTCCAACATACGGATGTGTTTATGAGTTTATTTTCTTTCTCCTGTCTGAAGTAGTAACTTTTAAAGTTCTGACTTAAAACATTAGTTGCAAAATTAAAGTTGTTAAGAGCCAGACGAAGGAGGACCACACGGACCTTCCTCTGTAGCTTTTATTCATAGGTTTTCTTTGTTTTCTACTTACCTTTTTCCTTCTCCTTCTCTCTTGGAATCTGTTTACCTAGAGACAGAAATCTTCCTTCGGCAAAATCAGTTCGGGTAGGGAGAAAGGTATTCAGAAAAGGAAATAAGGAAGAGGCGTGTGCGAGTCACCAGAGCACTGGAGTCTGAGATGTTAATGAGGAAAAAAGATGATATGTTTATCCTGTTGCACCCGTCATAGTACTAAATCGAGTACTTGTCATCAGTGCTCGGTTCTTTGCCATACCCTTGGCTTTCTTTAATTGGCTGATAAAGCAAATTGTTGTTCTTTGGTCTTTCTATATGATTCAAAGAGGATTAAGCTAGATTTTCAAATTGTATTTGGAGTGGAAAAAAAAAAACATGTATTAACACCAAAATGGTGCAGTGTTCATGCTTTATTAGTAAATGTTGCCATGAACTCTGTGCTGGTCAGGCATTTAAAACAGCAGCTAAGACACTAGCTCTCCGGAGCGCCTGAGTTCATGTCCCAGCTCCACTTCCAAGCCCAGATTCCTGCTAAAGCACACCCTCAGAGACCTTGCTTGAGCAACGGGCTCCTGGCTTTCATGTGGACCGACTCTGGCTGCGGAGCACATGAGGGGAGTGAAGATCTCACTCTGTTCATCTCTCTGCCTTTTAAATAAACACAATGAAAAAGGGACAGGAAAATTAATGCTGGTGGCCTTCCTTTGTAGACTACACTTGACCTGGAGATCTGACTTTCTTAAATTTTTGTCTCTTAGTAGATCTATCTCCCAATCCTGTTTATTCCTGGTACTTGCATATTTGGCAATCAGTTATCCCAGCAAGCATACACATAAATAAATAAATATAAGCCAATATTATTATTGTAGTTGTTTTTATAGTTAGGTTGCAGGAAGGTTTTATGTTCTTTGAGGTTTTTGTGGTTGTCTTGATTATTTTTAGTATTGCTTTTGTCCTTTGGGTTTGGACCTGCGTCCTAAATCCCGCTGATTTAGGAGGTCCTGTTCCTTCTAGACTACCAGACAGGATGTCATTGTTGCCGTCCATTGCTTGCCCAGTGTTAATTGGTTTACTGTCAGTGTCCATGGGCCCCAAAGCTTGTGCTCAGTTGTGCTTTTGCAACGTCCTTTGTTTAGACCTGAACGAAGCAGTCCCAGAGACAGAGCGTCTGGATTCAAAAGCTGTGAAAACCCGTGCCCAGCTCTCGGTGAAGAGCAGACGCCAGCGGCCCTCCAGGACAAGACTGTATGACAGCGTGAGCTCAACGGACGGCGAGGACAGCCTGGAGCGCAAGGTGAGCCCTCGGACTGCAGTGTTGGCCTCTGCCGTTTTGTTTTTTTTTTTTCCTACAGCTTATGGGATAGAAGACAATCTTTGTTTTTTCCTGTTTTAACCAAAATCTGTGTCTTAGTTGGAGATGGCTGGAATTGTTCACCGCTTTGCTGATTTCTTCCTCGGCCTTTTGTACTATTTAATTCAAGTTCTTCTCTCTAGTTGTCCAATGAACTAACCAAGAGCATCGTCCCTATTGTCGAATTTTCTGAGGGTTCTTTTCTACTCACTTGTTCGTCTTATCAGTTGGGAAATACTAACTGTAACAAGTAATTATTTCTGTATATCTTAGCTCTCTGTGTTGGGAACACTGGTCACATGGTGAGTTGTTAAGAACTATGCCTTTCCGTCTATAAACTAACAAACAAACATGGTTTTCATGAGAAATCATTGCAACAACAAAAGAAGGATGGGTCTTATTTCAAAATAAGTATAGTATCAGCCCAATACTCAGTGTCATAACCTTTATAATCTCTTATACCAACAGCCTTCCAACAGTTTCTATAACCACATGCATATTACCAAACCACTTCTAGCTGAGGGTTCGAGAACTTCTTCAGAATCAGATTCTGGTGCCCCGCCCCTCAGCCGGGCAGCCAGCGATGTGTCCTTCTCGCCTGACCATGTAGCTGAATTTCAAGAAGAATCCCAGGACCCTGAGAGGGAGCCCTGCTCCTCTGTCTGGGGAGACACAACCCCCTCCTCTCCTTCAAAATCAGAGCAGGACATGGAAGACTCTCCTTGCCACCATCAAGCCACCTCTAAGAAAGTAGCACAAGAAAAAGGTATTTGAATTTTTTTCTTGCTTATATTTTATCAGATTTCACTAGCCCTGATTTGGGCAATATAAAATAGCCTTTTCTCTGACAGTCCTAAGCTATCTGTCTTCCCACAGTTGGCTACATTCCTTTATATTCCAGAGCAAGAGCAACATGCCCATCCCCCACCAGCCCCGCCTGCCTCAGTATTTTGCATCCCTTCAGCTCTCTACAAGTTGCTATCAAAGGGAATTGGGGAAGGATTTTGTAGGATAGCATCCCAATGTTTCAGTAAGCATCTAACAGTCATTTTAGAAAAGCATATGAAGATAAAAGCGGTGATGGTCTTAACATTAATTGAGTCAAAAAAAATTTTACTTATTTTTGTTTAGATAACATTTTTGATTATGATTTATGTTGCCAAGAAAGTGATAGAAAGCAACAATAAAGGTAGTATAGGAAGATTTATTCAGTCGAGGTTTAAAATAAGCTCCTTGGATTACACCAGAATTTCATGTGTGTCTATATTTTGTCGTTTTCTTATATGAGCTTTTTAAATTTATCTGAAAAGAGGATCAGCCTTTGTTGTGATCATTTAAATGAGATACCACACTGCCCAATCTGGCAGGCTGGCAGCAACATCAGCTTGGGATTGAGGAATCCTGGCGAGCAGTGTTGGCAACGGGGCAGGGCTCGGGCAACACCACAAGCAGTGTGGTGCTGTGATGCTCCAGTTGGAAGACTCGGTGTCACACGTCTCTGCCAGATTGCAGTTGTGATCCTTGTACTCATACTGTGAGGACATGGAGGCTCGGTTGGCTTTGGGGACCTTGTGCTGTTGGTAAGCACCCCAGCTTCCTTCCTGATATTTCCTCTCCTGAGCCTGCCGGCTGGTGGAATCATCTTCCAAAGGTTAACCATAAGCACAGCTCTTTTAGAAGCAGTTTTGAAGCAAGACATAGAATACTTGGAGAAGATGCAATACCAGTGGATGCAAGAGAATCTATGTCCTCAACATTAATTCATCAAAATCAGTGACTGGGTTGATGAACGACTGGCCTGTGATTTGGGTCTACTTTCCAAAGAATTCAAGGCCTCCGGAACTTTTGCTAATTTAATGAAATTAAATTCAATGACTTATGAGTTAAAATAGCATTTTTATTTTTTATACTGAATTGTTTGTTTTCTTCTTGTTGAGCTTTTAAATGTCTCAATTATTTATTTTACTCATTTGAAACAAAAATGACAGAGAGGGAAAGGAGAGAGAGGGAGGCTGACTTTCTGTTGACTGATTGTCTCCCCCCAGATTCCCATTACAGCGGGGTTGGGCCAGGGTTGGCAGGCTGAAGTCCAAAGCCTAGAACCCTGTCAGGATCTCCAGCATGGGCACCAAGGACCCAAATATTTTGGGGCTGTTGTGGTGATATAGCATGCTAATCTTCCACATGCTAGTGCCAACATCCCATATGGACACCAATTCATGTCCCAGTTACTCCACTTCCCATCCAGCTCCCTGTTTATGGCCTGGGAAAGCAGTGGAGGATGGCCCAAGTCCTTGGATTCTACACCTATTTGGGAGACCCAGAAGGAGCTCCTGGTTCCCAGCTTCAGATCAGCTCAGCTCTGGCTGTTGAGCCATTTGGGGAGTGAATCAGCAGATGGAAGACCTGCCTCTGTATAGTCCTTTCTCTCAGTAAAATCTGTCTTTCAAATCAAAGTAAATAAATCTTCAAAAAATAACAGAACCCAAGTACTTGGGCCATTATATTCTGTCTCTTCAGGTTACTTTAGTGGGAAGCTGGATTGGAAGGCAGAGTTAGGACTGGATCCCCTACACTGGCATAGGGGTTACAAGTGCACAAGCCACAGCCCCACTCACTGTGCCATAGTACTCACCCCAAAAGTAGCATTTTCATAGAAATATACTTGTGGCATGCCTTCTGTGCTCTCCTGCTTTAAAACATGCGTAGCCATTTGTCTCTGAGAAGGCAAAAGTAGCAGCCAGATATGCTTTGAAGAAGTTTGAGTTTGTAAGACCTCGGGAGCGATGGTAAAGACATTCTGTTATCCTCAGGTGGGTCACTCACCTGGGAAATCTCACCCGAAAGCTTTTGAAAGTAGCTAAATCTTGTCTGGATTATTCTCTGCCTTTTCCCATTTGGTGACAATGCATGGAAGTTGGCAGAAGTTTTCTCTCCAATTGTAGAGGTGGCACATGGTTGTGAATTGGACTTTGCATGCCACTAGCAGTCACATGCCAGAAAATTGTGAGAATTCCATCCTGCTCCCTCCATGGCCCCCCAACCGCCCACCTTCCACGCCATGTCATGCTACCCTGTGAGCTCCTGGGCTTTGTTCAGCATGAAACCCCGGTGTAGCAGGTGGTGCACAGTGCTAAAGGCTGGGTCGTTGCTTCCCTGAGAGGAGGTCCCTCCCCCAGCCTCCTCACTTCCAGTTTGCCTTGTTTGACTGTGCCTCTGGGTAACAGCAGGGCAGTCACTGAACTCTGTTAAGCTAGCAAGTGGTCAGTGACTAACTATACAGGACTGACCATGCTGGTTATTTGCAGTGACTAACTGTACAGTGCTGACTGTACTGGTCACAGGTAACAGCTGTGGCCCATGTAAAAAAAGGGCCAAAGCTTCACATCCTTTTAGTACCCTGAGAGAATGTCTCAGGCCTTCCATTGCTGTTGAACATTCATCCACTCCTTATTCCTTCAGCAAATAGTTATGGAATACTCGCCCCATGCCAGGCTGTGTTCCAAAGGCCGACTGTGCAGTGAGAAGCCTTCCTTCCCATCAGGGCACCAGCTCACTGGAATCTGTCTGTAACGTTCTCCTCCTCCCCTTCCTTACCCTTCTCTCACTTCTTCCCTGCCCTCCACATATTTGTGACAAACCTTGTCACCACCATCAGCAACAACTTAGAAGACTCTATATGCACTTACCTTCTCCTCTTTGGTTCTGTCACCAAGGGAGTCCTATGAGCCCACTCACTTCCTGACAGCCCCTGATACCAGCTAGTGCCTTATGGACCTGAGCCTCAGTCTGTGATTCAAGAAAACCAACCATGGAGGAACTTACAAGAATGCAAAACAGTCGTTCAGGAAGACCTAGTGGGTAGAGCAGTGACATTCACAGAGACAGGTGCACCTACTAACAACATGGAGGCATGGGGCTGTCCCAACCTGCAGAACCAGTTTGTGCAAGACCGAGAGGTCATGCAGGCAGATTCAACCCATAGCTGCAAAACCTAAATATCTTAGGTTCCCACAGGTACTCTTGAAGGGAAGAAAGTGAGGCAGAGCTGATCAGAGGAACAGGAAATGGGTAGTCAAAAACATTAGGAAGGCAGCAAGATGAACCTGTTCTTTGTTTCTTAAACAGAGGAGGTGAGCTCAGGGGAGCATCTACCATCAAGCAGTAGACTGGGGAGTCTCCACACAGAGCAGGAAATGGTTGGGTGCTTCATGGCAGAGAACTGAAGGAGAATGCACTTAAGGAGAGGCCTTCGGCTTTAGTTGTCAGGAGAGCGCTTACTACCTTTCAAAGTGGAAACCAGGTTGCCAAAGCTTAAAGCAGAAGCCCTCAAATTCAGTCTTAAGACTTCAAATTGGTAATGAAGGTATTTCTGGGAAGATACCAAAAAACCTGTTTGAGTTTTACATAAGGCTAACTAACTGACTAAACAAACAGAATATGTCCTATTTGTTCCTCTTTTCCTGAGCTCATCCAAATGGAGTGTTGGCTTTTGTGCGGGCTAGAAATTCTGGGCCACACTAAAGATGGACTTGATAGAGTTAAAGTGGGAAACTACATTTTCCCTAATCTTGCCCCTACAGCCTTGCGCGAGCATTCATTTCAGTGTTCCTTGGAATACACTTCGGCAAATGTGTGAGATAATGATGGAAGGTTGCCTAGCAGCGGGCTCTGTGATGGGCAGAATCGGGCTTTTAGTCCTGAAATGTCCAAATAAGTGCAACACTAATAGATTGCAGAGTGTTTCCCTGAACATTGTCTCAGCTGCTCTTCCCACCACTCATTAAAGCATCTCGCAGCTACCTCTAATTCAGAACATAATTGGGCAGTCTCCTTTTAACTTTGCACAATCCTAGCCATTGAGAGTTGCTTTAGGATTGATTTGGAAGAATTTAGTATGTTGGTTTTTTTTTTTTTCAGCTTCTGTTGAGAAAATTGAAACCCTGCCTTTTAGAATTTTCTAAAAATGTCCATTAGCAAAATAACCTTGGAAGGCATCTAGTTTGTCTATGGATTTTAAAAATGTGTATATGTCACATCTGTGGCTATTTAATTCTGGTACCCAAAGAGTAATGATGCAAATGTCCTTAATAGATATTTGAGTGTGGAAGTGGATTTTGGAAACAGATCTATTTCTGACTCTTGTACTTCATTAGATGTATTTCAAGAAACTGATTATTGTAGCCTGGGTATCATTAGCTGAAAATATGAAAACCTCATTGGTAAACGTCCCTGGAGTGTTTGTCAGTGTCCTGAGCTGCCAGAGAGGTTTGAACTTGGATGCATGGTTGGACACTGGTGTATACTTGATGTTCGTTCAGGAAGTCTTGTCAATGCTCATTGAGAAATTTCTTGCCAAAGTAGATACAAATCACAAGCAAAATCAACTAACAAGGGTAATTGAACACTGTCTTAGCATGACCACTTCCTCTGTTCCAGAAAAATTCATCAGCTTTTTTTTTTTTTGAAATTTTTGAAAGATGGAAACAGAAACAGTTAGGGAGGACCAGTCTCACAGCATAACGCACATCAAGGGAAAACACCAGTGGTTCCTCAGGTCAGATCATCGGCTGTGCTGATCCGTAACACCCAACACTGTCTTCTGCTGCCAGTCTTCTCAGAGCTGCCAGCCCTGTCTGTGGTGAAGGAAGTGCCACCTGTGAAGTCTAGTTTTTGCAAAGCTCTCTTCAGTTGGGTTTCTAGCATAATTTCAAGTGTCCCCATGCCCCACCAACGACAGCTTAACTCAAAGAGCAAAAACCCCATGGGCTGAATGTGCTGGAGAGGTTGGGTGTCCCCACACCACCAGAGTAGCAAGGAGCTCCATCCCGCCACGAGGAGTGATCTTTCAGAGTGCTGTATGTTCCAGAGCTGCTCTCTTCCCTGACAGTGCCCCATCTCCACTCCTACCCCACTTCCACCTTCTGTTCTCTTTTGTCCCAGTCCTGGTCACAGGCCATCATCACTGGATAAGGAAAATACCAGAGGGTAAAATTTCAGCTCTCACTTCCTTCCTAAATCCCTCAGACTCTCAAAGGCGGCTCTTTGGGACTTTGAGGACTGGAGTCTTCAAAGAATGGGGTGGGTCCTTGCAAATGGGCACAAAACGCAAAGATAAGAGGGATATGGAGTACAGAGCCCTGTCATTTGCAGCCAGGACTTGAAAGCAGAGAAGGAATAAAAATGAAAGTGACATTGGTTGGTGCTTTGAGTGCACTGGCCCTCCAGTGATATGCCTCTTGGTCACCTTCTTCCTTCCAACACATTTGAAACTAAAACTCTGTGATAAGCTTGGGCCTTGGTCCACCAGCCCCTCTCATACTTTAGCAAATGCCCCCCAAAGCAGCCAGGTTTCTTATCACTCATCAAAGTTTATGATTTTCTTTTGTAGTAAGGAATTTAGACATATGATTTAGACTCAGAGGCACATTGACATTTCCCTCGTAAGTTTTAAATAATAATTGTCCTTTTTCATCTATGTGTATATCCTAGATGGTGCCAAAGGTCCCAGATCACCAAAGACTTCCGGTTCGTTGGTGGCACAAGGAGGAAAAATTAAACAGAAGTTTGTGGATCTAGGGTAAGCAACTTCCAGGGTAAAAAAAAATAATAATAACCAGTATGCAAAGGAGGATTAATAGAAAATGTTGGCTTTCAGTTTTATGACTGTCTGCTGTCATTATAGGGCACCTTTGCGAAGGAATTCCAACAAGGGAAAGAAATGGAAAGAGAAAGAAAAGGAAGCCACTAGTTTTTCTGCAGGTAGCAGGTACTGGTGGGTGATTAAGAACACAGACTTACTTTTATACCTAACTCTTTGGCACCCTTTTCTGTGGCTAACCAAAATCACTCATCACTGTCTCTGAAATGGACTCATATTCCTAGAGGTGGGACAGAAGAAGAATTGCACAGTCAATTTATATTTGTCTTGTTCCAGTTTTAGCCCGCATCTGGGCTATAATTAGTCCCTAATTACAGAATTATGATTGTATGAATGGTTTCAATAGATGTTTAACTAAAATGCATTATAAATACATTTCTGTGATAATTTGGACATATATCATATTTTTTTGGTGGGAGGGGAGCCTAGCTGCTCACGATGTTGGTATTTTCTACTTTTTTGATTAAGTCTGAAAGGGTAGCTTTGCTTTTAAGAACCTTGTTGGCATTCAAGACTGATCTATCCGTGTGCATGTATGCCCGACCACCCTTCCTTGCTGATCTTGGCTGCCTGATTGATTTTGCTGGCACCATCAACTGTGCTTACTGTTCAGGAAAGAATTTCCTATAGAGAAGTGAACTCTGAACAGCATACTGTTACATTTTCCCAAGTTAATTCTGATATTTCATACTTTTCAACTTGGATCTGTATAGGAAAACAGTGAAGCATGAAACTCAGGTTGGCATGCTTGGATCTGAATCTTAGCCCTTTCACTGAAGCTTTTTAAGTGTTGGATAAGTTACTGATCCTTCTGTGCATTCATTGTCTCATGCTAAGTGAGGGTCGTAACACCCTATAGTGATTGCAAGGATGAAGGGAGCCTGCATGTACGGCGTATGAAATGATAGGTGGCAGTTGTGAAAGATTCAGAAGTATGAATTATAATAAGTTTTTTTGTGTAATGATCATCATTATTTGCAACTTACAAAGGAGCATCTGTTTATCACTTCTTCTGGTCTGCACAATGAAGTTGAAAGGGCAGATAATGGTTGCATGCTTTGATGAGGAAGTTCTTCACCTCCATAGAGTGTAATTGATTTGTCCTGAGCTGTGCAGCAGGTAATTAATGTCAAGCTGGGGCTTGGGCCTCCTGTCTGGATGCCTTCCCAACACATTATTCCGCCTGCAGCTATTTATGCATTTAATGATACTTAAATTTCTTTATGAAACTTCAAGTCATCTCAGTATTGTAGCCTATGGAAGGAAGAGGCAACATTGCTGAAAATGAGGCTCTGTAAAGTCATTTAGGGATCACTTATCCCGCTCCTCAGCTGTGCCCCTGCTGTTTGCTTCCCTCCTCTTCCCTGACATACAGCTTAATGAGCAGCAGCGCCTTCCCCTTGGTATTGTGGGTGAACGGGGTAGGAAAGAGGAAAGAGAATTCCAAAATGATTTCATTAGACTGGGTTTGCTTTATGACATACAGTGAAAGAAAGGTCAGAAACCTCTCATTATATTGAGGACAGAAAATTGAAGACAATTCTAAGGCCAAAGCAACTCAAAAGCAATATGATTTTGAGAAATATAAAATAGTTTACTTTGTACCTTTAAATTACGAACAGGAAACTATCAAACCTTGTTAGGAAGGGGAAAAAAAGGTAGTAAAATCATTTTGAAGCAACACAGGGTGGGTGGGTGTTAGTGTGGAGCAGTTTGCATGCCTGTGTCCTGTGGCAGAAACCACAGCTCTGGCTGATGGGCAGCAGCAGTTGAGGGCTCACTGAGCAGGCTCCTTGCACGCACCTGGCACGTGTAGATGGCATTCTACCTCCCAACCATAGTGGGCATTTGGGGAGCAAAGCAGAGACTGAGAGTGAGCAAATGCCCTCTCTCTCTCTCTCTCTCTCTCTCTCTCCCCCCCTCCCCCTCCCTCCCTCCCTCCCTCGCCCCTCTTTGTCTCTGCCTGTAAAATACAAAATAAATAAATAAAAATTGAAGGGAAACAAAAGAAGCTGGAGAGCATAATGTATACATGCTCAAGGAGCCACACACCAGGGCACGATTGAAATGATGCTGTGCTTGCTAGAGGGTCTGGGGTCAGGACGGCCCTGGGCTCTCGCCTGGAGCCTCCGTCTCAGAATGGTGTGAGCATTAACAGCCACAGGGAGACATCAGCTAGGAGTCTGTGCCATCAGGGAGTGCTCCCCACAAGTAAGCAGGGACAGGGCGTTATCTGCACCCTGCCTTCCCTACCAGCGCCGGCTTCCCTCAACTTCCTTCCCTCTGGGTTGACAAGTGTCCCACATGCACCAATGCTATAAAGTAAGCTTCAGCTAGAATCGTCATTTTTTATAATTATTTGTAATTACACTAGACTCTTGGCAAGATAGAGAGAAATCTATATAATTGAAATAATAAAGACAAAAGGGACATTTCTCTGTTTCCAAAAAATCAATTTTTTAGCTTTCAGAGTAATTGGTTGACACTAATCAAATCTAATGACAGCCTCTGTTCTCCTATAGAGATTGATAACAGGCCCAGAACCTAATAACACATTGCAGGAAGAACAGAATTACTGCCTAGTAGGGGTTTGATGCAGTTGAGTTGCTTTCAAAACTCCCCCTAAATCCCATGCTGGGTGGGCTGGTCTAGTTATAAAGAAGCGCCTGGGAGAGGCTCCCCAGCCCTACAAGGCTTTCTCGCAGAAGGAGGGGACATACTCCCAGAATGAGTTAGTAATCTTATCAGTGAGATTTCTCACCTTCTTCTTGTGAGGTTTTAAAGACCTATTGAGTTCATCAGTTAAGTATAACTCACGGCTATCAGATTTTTAAAGAAGCAATACTTTTTATTCATACACATAACCAACATGAGACAAATGGAGAAAAGAGATGAGCCCACCAGCTCTAGTAACAACTAAACCCAGCCAAAAAGTACCACTTGGCTCTGTCCCTTTTCAGATATGTGCTTAGTGAACATTCTGATTTAAGCAGGCAGCATAGTAGATAACAAATTAGCTGTCAGGGCATGGTCATGCTTTTAAGTACATGCCACAGGATGAAGGAAAATTCTGTCCTAAATTCTAGAATAGGGAAATATAGATGCCAGAACAGTGTCACCTTGGCAATCTATGGAGAAACTTCCAGTTCAGTCACTAACTCTTTAGTCCAGTGAGCAGATAAGTTGTCTCAGATAGGACAACGGGTCATTAGCAAAGTGACAGGGGCAGGACGTGCCAGCCTACTGTGAAAGTGAATCTGCGTTAGTCCTCACTTTCCCATGGGCAGATCACCTTGATTCCTACAAAAATAGTGGTGGGTTGGCCATAAAAGCGCATGGCGTCTACTCACCATCTATCCCTGTGTTCAGTACAAATTGACATCTTCCAGTGAGATGTGGCTGCGGAGCAGTTGTAGCATGCCAGTCTGTGCATCATTTGCTAAAGGAAAAAATGCATGCTTTTTAAAAAATTTAGTATGAAACATTATTAATAATTTTATTGCATTGATTTGCTAAAACGTTTTTGGGTTTGGGAAATTAAATAAACATGTATTACTATTAGAATTAATTTTGCCCTTATTTTTCCATGTGGCTGCCTAAAGATTTTAATTTATGTATGTGGTTCATATTATGTTTCTATTGGATAGTACTTTTTGATCTATAAATCTGCAAAAACAGATCCTTCTCTGGTTTCTTAGTTTTCAGTTAGCCCACAAATAAGCATGTAAGCATTTATTTATTCTTTTTTTGTTTATTCTTTTGAAATGTATATTCTAATCCCTTTTGCTCCGAAAATCTATTTGTGTACGAAGTACTACAACCATAAGATTTATTTAAAAACTAGTTAAGTGGCAAAAAAAAAAAAAAGAAAGAAAGAAAGAAAGAAAAAAAGTGAGGTCAGCACTTACAAGGCAACTCAATAATACCTTCCTTGTAAGTGTAACTGGTGCGGCGTGGGAGAGAGACCACACTGGACCCAAGTGTAGGATGTTAGGAGGAGTCTTTGTGTCCCAAGCTTGATGACAAGCTCCCACTGCACTCCAGGAGCCACAGTGCTGAGTGGTGAAAGTCAGGGGTTTTCAAGCTCTCATCCTCCAATCAGATGGAGAGCCATGCAGTACAAAGTTTCAGGCAGGAAGGGAGTTACCAGAGCCCAAAGTTTCAGCTAACTAACCTACAGGAGTCAGGAGGGGCAGGTGCACGGAACCTCCCAAGTAATTTCTGCGCTGTCAGTTGTGAATGGTGCAGAAGGCAGGAGCGGGTGCATTTTCCGTGCCTTCAATTAACTTGAATGGCAGGAAGGGATGTAGGAAGGGTGGGGTGCGGAAGCTCCCATTACTCCAGTTATGTAATAGTGTCGTGCCTCATTACTTAAGAGCGGCCTTCCAGTGAAAGCCAAGGGCATTTTGTCCAACTGGGTGAGAACCTGGGTTCAGATCCCAGCTGTGGCTCCTGGCATCTTGGACAAGTTATACAGCTTCTCTGTGCCTCTACTTCCTCGTTTGTAAAATAGAGACACAAACTGTACACACACACACATAGAGTCCCTAACTTAAATGGTTCAGCTTAATGCCTTTCTGATTTTACAATGTTGCAAAAACAATTTATATTGAAATCATAGCTTGAATTTTAAATTCAAACCTTTGCCTAATGGGAAGTGATATGGCATTCGGGTGGTAGCAGGCAGCCCAGCAAGCTGTAGCTCTTGTCATCCCCACAATGGGAGGAGACCATCAGTACTATACACTGTGCTGGTTGGCTAAGCAATATAGTTTGGTATGTTAGGAATATTAAACACATTTTCCATTTGGGATAGTTTTAATTTAGGATGGATGTATCAAGATGTAATCCTATTGTAAGTTGAGGAGCTATCCATACATATGTCTGCTTCTTGGGAGGATTGGCTACATTATATTTAAGTGCATTTTAAGTCCTTAACAAGTATAAATGGCTACCACTGTCATGTTTTATATTTAAAGCAAGTTTGGAGGGATGGAAAGCCAAGTATTCTCCATACATAGTTTGCTGGCAGTCTTGTTCATCCAAGGGTAGGTTTTGTAGGAGACTATCTGAATTATGCATCCAGCAGTCCCACTTACACGGTATCTCTGTTTAAGATGGTGGTAGGTTAAATCCTGCCAGGACAATATGTTGGGAATTGTCGTCTCGCCTGTGCCACCAGCCTGGAGGCCAGCTCCACCCTCTCAGAGGTCCCTCTAGTGGGGATCAGGACTTGAGGTGTCACAGCCACGCCAAGAAAAATTGGCACACAGAGAATGCAGAGGCAAGATGGACTATTGCACATTTTATTGAGTTATACTGGGCAACTTACACCATGATTTTTGCAGGGCAAGCAAGCAGATGAAAGTTACTAACTAACTGAAAAATAGCATACAGGCTACTCTAACCATAGATCACAAGGAATTTGAAAAACAGTCACCAGGTCTCAGGCAACAGGATAAGGAAACATGAGTTACAGGAACCAATACTGGTAAACAAATGGATCTAACTAGAAAAGAAATGTAACAAAACTTTGTACTCAGATATATTTAGACCACAATCTCTCTCTCTCACACACACACACACACACACACAAAACCAACCAAGAAGGTGGTGAAGATGCATCACACCTCTCCAGATACACTTAGCCAGGCATAATTCTCAGTCTGCCGAGAATGTCTGAGATTTGGGGTCCATTGGGTATTTGGTAGTCTGTTTTTTTAGGGGGGGGCGGGTGGCAAGCCTTCAACACACCCTGCTGCTGGGGATGGAGTGAGCCCCTGCTTTACGGTCACAGGACCTGTGTGCAAACACCAGGATCGAGAGGAGGATATACATGAGTAGGTAACTCCTGACCCAATGGGGACCTTTGAGTGATGACAGCTTAGCCATAGCAAAACAAAACAACTCACCCGTAACTTTCCCATTTGTAGCTGTATTTATCGATTTAATGTTTTTTGTTAAGTATTTTGGACATCCCTATGGTCTTATCAATGCAGTTAACATCAAAAAGTGCAAACATAAAAATAATTTCAGTGGAAAAAAATGAATTTAAAGGGGTACAAAATCTTGACAGAATCAAGACACATTTGTCTCTCAAATTTCTAGTAATGCATATTTTCTTAAATGCCTAAGTAATGTTTATTATTCCTGAACTTGACATTTGTACATGAGCATATGGATTATATTTATGTAATCCTCTTGCCTATTACATTTTACAGCCTCCTGGCATGGGACAGACCCATGAATGGGGCAAAGTCACTGTCTCAACTGAGCCAAAGGTTCAACATTCTACAGTTATGAAAGATTTTGGACCAGAAATTGGGGTCTGGAAGCACACTATGCCTAGGGTGGTTGGCCGGAACCTCACTTGGACGCATTTCTCGTGGCTGTTATCCAATAAAGCCTCCAAGCACCTAGCAGCTAGAGCTGGCCTTTCCCCCTCAGCTCCCTTGGTGAATGTTTGAACCTTCCAGCACTCCTTCCAGCATCTGATCTAAATGAATGGATATCAGCAGTCTTCTCGTGGGTGCAGCTGGCTTTCTCCAAGGAATTTCCTTCACTACCTACCTGCTTCAGCTCTGTGGTCTTCTTGCCGTGTTTCTGTTGTGGCAGTGCCCGACACCCAAAATGCTATTCTGATGGCATTCAGCTGGATTTGGAGTAATCCACAAGTCTTGTGTTCAAAGTTAAAACAACAACAGCAAAATCACCATGGGTGGGGTAGCTGAGCAGTTGGGTTTGGGGACGCCAGCCCCAGGATAAACGTGCTTCAAAATGTGTAAATTAGTTAATTGCTCTAAAGACTTATTAGCTGTAGACCATATAATTGCAAGACCCAGATATGCCAAAAATGACATCCATAGATAATAGAAACTGAATTTAAGGCATTCTTTCTCTCAGTTACTAAGAACAGAGCGTCAGGGACATTGCAATGTCTTGTGGTTACATTTTTTTCCATAGACAAGAGCAAAGCATTAGCAAGTCAAGGCAGCATGCAGCAGTGGCCGTTTGGAATTTCTTGAAATTATTTTCAGAGCCCCCAAGAGTTTATTTCTGTCAATCTTGATTTGGGGAAGGAAGGTGAAAAAGAAAAAGAGGAAAAGGAAGGAAGGAGTGAGAATTGAAGGAAGGGTTCTGTGTTATTCTGAGCATTTGTATACAACATGCAGTGGGCTATGGGAGTGGCCAAAGTGGAATAACCATTACCATACACTTTCTGCTCCTTTTCTAGACTTAAAATAAGAGTTCAATTTACCACCCCTCCCAATAAATTAGCATTTACTTTAGAAAATGTGTCTGGTAAACCAGTAGATCTATAATAGGTTTTTTGGTTTGTTTGTTTGTTTGTTTTTTGGAGAGGAGTATTCTGTATCCCAGGTTCAAGCAAATCAAAGCACACCGCCATTCAGTTCTTTGAAGGTACTAGGCAGCATGCTAGTTCATTGGGTTTTAAAGTCACTGATACACAAAGAGATGAAGAGGCTGGGATGCAGCCTCTGCAGGGGCAGAACAAGACCTGAGAGAGAACTGAAACCCTCATCAGGATTCCCCCAGAATCTGCTGCTTGGTATCTGTGGGGCCAGAGGGGGTCTCCTCCAAGTGGACTTTCATTGCTCACTACTAGGCTTTCAACAGAACTTTCCTGACTCCTCCATTCTCTGGTTATCATTGCTGTAACATAGATGGGCGCTTTATGGGCTGCAAGATGCTTCTGCATGTGTTGCACCATTTGATTCAACAGCGTTTAGAAATGAACAGGAACAGTTAGGAGTTGTGCCACTCACATAGACTACAAATGAGTTATTCTATAGTTTTGCTTTTGAGATGAGCTGTGAGAAGACAAATTCAGTGGGCATGTAAGGTACAAGTTGTGCAGCCGTGGGGTTCAGGTACGGTTAGTTAAAAGAGGCTGTCTGCAGGCATGGCATGAGCAGTGATGAGCGAGGGTCTCACAGTGTCATTGTGACACTGAACCAGGCTCTTACAACATGCTTACAAACCACTCCCAGGTCCCACTTCGGATTCTGGTATTTATTTTTCTGTTAAACAAAGATAAATAAAATCACAAAAGTACCTGCATTAATGGGAAAATATGTTTTCAAGCAGTGTTTGGCAAATGCCTCTAAATTGTTTGAGAAGAAAGTAATAAATATTGACCACTGGATAGTCTGCAAAGCACTTTCACACATTTATCTCACTTAATTATTAATGATCACATTTGAGATAAAAAATAATCCACTTTTTACAGATGGGGAAAGAGAGGCTGAGAGAAGGCCAGAGGCACACATCCCAGGAAAGGGTCGACCCTGACCCCACATGACTTCGGAAGGGTTCAGGTCTTGGTGTTCCACCTGGGGATTCCTGTGACAAACCAGTAAGCTGTGCTTGTACTTGGAAATCATGAGCTGCCAAATATCCAACTTTTTAAATTATTTGCTAAAGTCGCTGCCCCTTGAGAATAGGCGTACAGAGGAAAGCAGGGAAGAATGGGGGTTATGAGCCGATGTCATGGTGAGGAGGCAATGCTGGATCAGTTAGTCCAACAGCATTCCTCCAAGACATGATCAGCCACATATGCTTATTTAGCACATTTAATAAAAATGTGCCATGGCAGGAACAGCATGCAAATAACAATCCTTGTTACGGGATGAATGTAGATGCCCAAAAGGTTCCTGGTAAGATCAGCACTACTGACAGCCAGCTTTTTGCTCTGTTGAGTCAAACAGTTTCTAAAATTCTTTCTTGGAAACACATTCAGAGTCAATTCAGAATTTATGTCAGTGAGACTTGCTTTGTCTGACACTCTTGTTCTTTTCACAAAACAGGATCTTCCGAGGCAGACTGAACAACTGGAAGCCCAGGCCGCCTTCTGCAGCTCAGGCCTCTGCCCGCTCCCCTTGCATGCCTTTCTCATGGTTTAACGAAAGCCGCAAAGGATCTTATGCCTTCGGAAACCTGCCGTCACCTCCAAGCCCCCTTCAGCCTTCTCCTGAGACTCTAAATTCAGATAAAAAGGGGTCCAAGGTAGAAAACATGTGGATTAAACACGCAAACAAGGACAACCCCCAGCCCTCCTCCTCTCCAGTCTTTGGAAAGCATTCTCAGCTTGTGTGTGTGTGCCCTGGACCTGCAAAGCCAGTGTGATAATAGTCACAGTGCATGGTATTTCCTGTGCGGGGTAAAGAAAGCCCCAGCTAACCTTCACCTCCTCTAACACTGTTCTGTTCTAGATTGTGCAGTGCTCCTTGATTTGTCTGTCTTTTCACAGATTGCTGCTTAATCACTCTGACCGTTTATCCGTGCTGGGAGAGATGCATTTGAAGCATGGGTTGGGGAATAGATCTATCTACTAAATATTCTGCTTTAAATTACATAACAAAAGTTTTTCACCATGCTCTTCAGGATTTACTGGAAAACAAGTATATTTGGGACCAAATGTACATTTTGTGCATCTACATGGAACTCTTTAAAACAAACCAACACAAGCAGAACCACCTGCCTCACTCCTTCCTTTGGTATCAGACTTCCTTGTTGAACAACTATTATAATCCTGTCACCAAAGTTCTTCAGCTAGTGTCCTGCACAGGTGTAACTTGCTCTTGAAATGCACGGTGGTGATTTCCAGCATGACACTGCAAATCATAGCTAACAATTTCCTGAACCCCATAGGGTAGGCTCACCCTTTGACGGTGCTCAGGGTCCTTCTCTCTGTAACTGCCTTTCTCACTTGAACAGAAAGATGTGACTAATAATACTTGCTGAGTTTTCATGTTTTTTCTGGGGGTTTTGATCAGGGGCCTGGCCTGTGTCCCCACACACAGCACCATGGGGGAAGTTCTGTGTTCAGCACTTGGCTGCCTGGCTGCTGCCCTGCATTGCTCCTGGCCTGGCCTGGCCTGTAGCATCCTTTCTTAAAGTTGTGGCGAAACCTTGGAGTTTGTCTGGTACTGGGTTTTACAGCTTCTGGAACAATATACATTCTTCATAACCCACTCCTCCCAGTGCAAGGCAGCCTAACAGGACACTCTGACCAGAACAGGCGCTAAAGAAGCGGGGTCTATAACAAGATGGTCAAGTGCTCAGAGCTCTCGGGAATCAAACCCTAGGAGGGCTTTCTTTGCAACAGGTGTTGTAACACCAATAGACCCCTTTGGCCTGGAGACATATTCAGTATTGGATCTGAAACATCTAAATGTTTCTTGAATGTTTCTCTCATGATCTTGGCACTAAAGACACTCCAGATTTGGTTTAAAATGCTTTCCTACTACAGCCACATAGCATTAAATTATTCGATGCCAGAGATGGAAGTGGGTGGAGCATTTGACTTACTGAATCCAACCTCCTGCACCCCCAAGTGATTATTTGGCAGCAAGCCTGGCCCCATGCTGCAGTCCCTTTGCCACATGCTGGAGTTGGGAGAGAATTGTCTTCTAGTGTGTACAACTTGTGTACTGTTGGCCCATCTTCTTCAAGGGTACATCCAGGAGAGGATCTGCCACCATGCACAGTATTTATCACGGCTAAGAACATGCCATCCTTCCCATGGGTGCCCCAGCTACCTTGCTAATAGGAATTGCCATCTGTTCTTAATAACTCAGCCTCTTCACACCATCTTGTGTTGTTACTTAACACTGTTACTCATCATGATTAGGGTCAAAGAAGAGAGGTTTATTAATATTACTCTTCTGAGCAGCTGCTGAGGATAATGAATTCTGTACCCTTGAAGAGAGATGAAAGCGTGATTTCTCTAAAATGCCTCGCCTTCCACCAGACGGGGAGAGCACCTTGAGTGCCCCATTAGCTGGAGAAGGCACCACGTTTCTAGTCACTCCCTAGGTGGTGGCTGCCATCAAGCCAAACTCCTCAGGTCACTTTAATAACAACCTTTCTGGAACTCGCAGACCCTTCTAACCTCTGGCTAATGTGCCGTGCCAACTTGACCCTGTGCTTCCTTTCTTTTGGCAGAATTTTACCTTCAATGAGGACTTCAGTCCCAGCAGTGCCAGTTCTGCAGACCTGAGTGGCCTGGGAGCAGAACCCAAAACTCCGGGGCTCTCGCAGTCCGTAGTACTGTCATCAGATGAGGTACTTGCATGCCAAGAGAGCTGCTCTCGCCCGTCCTACCTGGCACTGGGAACCCTCACTGGGAAGATGTCTCTAGGGTAGATTTGCAAGGAAATCGTCAGGACACACTGTGCTTTCTGGGTTGTGTTGGGTTGGGTTTGATTTTTGTCTGACAGCAAAGTGTTGTTGTGAAAAACCTCTTTTCCATAGCTCAGAAAACTGGAAAGGTGAAGCAGTCAGGCACTAGAGGGCCAGATGGAACAGCAGCTCAGAAATCACCTGCATGTCAAAACAGCCATCTCCTCCTATGCCTCCCCTCCAGCAGCCCTGGGCCCGAGATGCTGACTCACCTCTGGGATAGGACTACCCCTGATTGGGAATCATTGCAGCAGGCAGCACTGTTGGGGTGAGGCAGGGAAGCAGGTGCCTCTCCTGCTGAGCAACCCGGGTCTGGATGAACATTACTTAGAATGATTGGAAACTGCACCACAGATGCCCTAAACTGCATCCATGGTGCACATAGTTCTTAGAGGGGTATAATTAACATAAATGTCATTTGGCTCTTATTAAATATTTTCCTTGTTTGCATCTAACAGGATTTTTATGTAAAACCTTTCTCATAAACTTTGCTGCCTATTTCCTTCAAGATTGGTGTGATTCTAATTCTTTTCTTAAGCTGTGTTCTGAATATATTGTGGGTCATGGTTCTGTAACATGTTTTTGTTTGTTTTTTCTTGATTCCCTTCTTGCTCCCTCGCTCAGAGCCTGGATATGATAGATGATGAGGTGAGCTTGCCTGGGTGTGGTCACTTGTGTGGTTATCGATTGAACTTGCTCACTGGTCTTTGCACATGGACTAAGAGCCATACAGTTCAGGAGCACTGTCCCCTCTAGTGGAGGCTTTCCCCATTAGACAGCTCCCCTCACGGCCTCTGCCCGCATCCTGCTTGAAGAGCTGCCCAGAGAGGAGAGCAGGTCCCAGTTGCCCATTCCTCGACTCACCTCCCATCACCATTGCCTTGGCACAGCCCATTCTCTGCCATGGCCTCAGCCTTCATGTCAGCTTACCCCATTTGGTCCTCTGTGTCCCTCCTGTGGGTGTCCAGAGTGACTTTTGCCCCTCATCTTCTGTCAGCATAACGATGCCTCTCCATGCTGTCATAAGGGACGTTTTGTAGTGGGCTGAGTCTGACAGGAGACAGGACAGAAGGCACCTGCAGTTGCTTTCTAGTACTTTCCAGCCACAGGGTCTTGGCCAGATCCTGTGGTCCCTCCTGCATCTCAGCCTTCCCACAGGGGAGAAATCCTTATGGACACCACATGCCCCTTCTTCCTGGGGTATGCGTGCTGCCAAAACGAAACCATGATTGGGAACTTTCCACTAGGGCGGCTTGAGGGCTCCAAGCTCTCCTATTCCAAGTGAAAACGATTTCTGTATTTTCTAAGTATAGTTTTACAAAACTCCAGTGTCTCATCAGGATAAATGCGGAGTGACACAATGCGTGCAGAGGTTGCAAAGCATTTGCTTTCCACATCTGATCATCTTTCTCAGGGTGTTTTCACTGCGAAAGCTTACAACATGAGAATGTTATCTTTTCAGTATTAAACTTCGTACATGAATAATGCGACTTTATATGGGGAGGTTTTTATTTTTCTAAATACCTAAAAATATGTAGGTGAAAAGTGTTTTCTTTCTAACACAGCCAGAAGCATCAGCTTATCATTTTGTGTTTGAGCAGTAAATGTGGCTCTAGTCGATGAAGAAATTGCTTTGCTAGCATAATGCGAGCCATGACGTTTTTGGTCCTTTAACAACACTGCGTAACATTCCTGTCTCAGATCCTTGATGACGGACAGTCTCCCAAACACAGTCAGTGTCAGAATCGGGCCGTTCAGGAGTGGAGCGTGCAGCAGGTCTCCCACTGGTTAATGGGCCTAAATCTGGAGCAGTATGTATCTGAATTCAGTGCCCAAAACATCACTGGAGAGCAGCTCCTGCAATTGGATGGAAATAAACTGAAGGTAACGAATTATATGTCTGTGGTAGGTCCCCAGGTATAATTTGTATTCTTCAAAGCACCTGAAATGTTTTTCATTAGATAAGAGCATTTTGCATATCTCAGTCAATGAAATGCTGAAATTATCTGAATGAGAAGTGAATGAGGTTTCAGAAGGTGATCAGGGGTCCTAAATCAACTGCCAAGCTGTTGATTAGGAGAGCGAGGGACCCACTTCATGGCTTCCACCCAGCAACACATGGACCATTTATTAACTCTGCATGCTTTCTACGTGGTGTGAGTGTTAATAATGGCCAATGTGGACTTGCTTGTAGCATTAAGTTAAGGCCCCAATCTTTGGCCAACTTTCGCTTATCCGTGCTTCTCCATCCCCACTCTTCCCTGCACAACACTCAATGCTGGAATGGTCTTCTCCAAAAACTTCCTTCCGCAAATACATACAGGCCATGGCTTTCTCCCCACCCCGGCCCCATCACATTCTCATCTCCACTTGTCCCGTCCATCTGTCTTAGAGACTGAAGTGATACCCACCCCTATGGGAAAAGGGCAGAAGTTACTTACAACTAGTTCCAGGCTCCCCTCCAACCACCCTCCCACTCCCCAAAACCCTCCCCCCAAACCCCTTGCAACTCTAGGCTGATGGGCAAATAAGCAGCTCTTGACAGCCTGGAAAAGGTTAGGGATCAGTCAATAGATGAAGGCCCCATTGACAGGGCCTCCCTGCTGGGGAGATGGATGCATCCCGCTGTGGTGTCTGAAGGTCATAGAACATTTAAAGTACACAACCAATTCTCCTCGTCTGCATTCCACATGCAGTGAGCAACCACCTCATTATGATTAGGCTTCTGTAATAGGCCTGCCTACAGGGAATGAATGGTGGACCATGCTGGCACATGCATTCTGGTCCCAACAACATCCTTGGTTCTCACTGGAGATAAATCCCTAGGCAGCAGGGAAGCCAGTGCACTCCCTCCTACCTTTCCTGTAGCATCAGATGTCTGCCTGACCTTTTGAAGGGTTTTTTTGCCCATCATGTCCACAGCCCAAATGTGTGAGAAATGGAATAGCACTCTATTTTTTTCCCCCATTTGTTCAGGCGTGAGTTACCAATTTGGAAAGGTGTCCACTTAGTGACCTTCAGGGGGTTATTTTTTAGACTTTAAAGACCAAACAGGATCCCACAATTGGTACATATTTAGCACATGAGCCAAATTTTCCTCAGTGCCTTGCTAACTGATGTTTCAGTTCCTCCCTAAACCTGAGCCAATTGTGAGAGTAACCTCTTCATCCACAGACAGGTCATGGCTTTTCCAACTCAGGCTGTACCTGTGCTTCCTTTGTCAGGCTCTCGGAATGACTTCATCTCAGGACCGGGCAATGGTCAAAAAAAAACTCAAGGAAATGAAGATGTCTCTAGAGAAAGCTCGGAAGGCCCAAGAGAAAATGGAAAAGCAAAGAGAAAAGTTAAGGAGAAAGGAACAAGAGCAAATGCAGAGGAAGTCAAGAAAGACAGAGAAGCTGGCATCTACTGCTGTGGAGGGCGCTGGCGAGCAGTAACGCACCTTCTGCCAAGGGGCAACGCTGTCACAGAGAGCCCGCCCTTCCCTGCCCTGCCCCTTGCCCGGAAGATAAGGGGGACAGATGACCTGGTAGTGCAGCTGTAGGCAGCTTAAGGAACAATGTGCTGAGGAACTGTGTTTTCTGCAATAATAGAACGCACTCGTAATTCAAACCTACTGATATCATCCCTTGACACCTTTGGTTTATTAAGAAACCAGAGAGCTCATTTGTGAGAGATGCAAGGTAGCAAATCTTTTCCATACCAACATCCTGTGTTATGTTGGATGTGCTGTGTCCCTGGGAGAACCAGCAGGAAGCTGCCCAGTGAGAGCATGACACACCCTGCTGTTGTTCATGGAGTGTATTTTCAGTGTGGGGTCCAGAAAGTGATCAATCATGCATTTCTGCACAGCCTAGAGCACCCTGCTATGATACCTAGGATCAGGACTGAATGTCTAGGATGGCAGATTCTGTTTCTGTGTTTGGGGACATGTAGGACAACCCCATGGGGAGAGTACCCCAGGGGTACTCTGCCAAGTGATCCCACTCCGAAGGGAATGGCTCACCCACCTGTGTGCCTGCACGCAACCAGAAAGAAGGAATTAGAGCTATTTGTTAGCTGTAGAAGGAGTATAAGCCTTAAGCATGTGGATGAGTTATTACCTTGGAATTCTGAGGATAACATTTATCCTCCAGGTACTCCTGAATGAAGAAGAAAAACATCGGACACTATTGCGCAGTGGGATATTGGGATGTGCTGTTTACTTGGCTGCCGCTGTATGCTCGGTATGTCAGCAACACCAGCAAATGCAACACAGTTCATCTTCTTCCCCCAGCCCCAAAAGATTGAACAGGAAATTGATTTTTTAGGAAATCCAGTATTTTCACATGTCCTCTCATGGGGAACATTCTGCCTGTGACACATCAGGAACTTGTCAATATTTTCTACTCAACATTTCCCAAGTGGGCTCAGTTAGTGTTTTAACAAATGATCTTTTAAGAAAACAAAATTATCAGTTAAACAAAACCTTGGGTTTGCGTAACATCCAGCCCCCAGATGATGCGTTCGGGCACACAGACGTTCCCTCCCAAGGAGAGCTGTCTGCTCTGTTTTACAGATGTTTCAAGTGGTCTCTTCCTAGGATTCTCTTCCACAGTTTAAGAGATTTTCACTGTATGGTTCCAATTTGTTTTCAGCAGTCCACAGCCGACACCTGAGCAGTAAAGGAACTTTACAGAATTCTTTTCAAACCAGTGTTAAGGAGTTCAGCGTTTTACCAAAGTCGAGTGTGGGAGACTAGAGCAGGTGGAGAAGGCAAAACTCCTCCGGAGAGAGTGGGTCGTATTAGTTTGCTTGCTTTTGTTTTCCTTGTTACGCTCGGGGATTTGGTTCTCTTGGCTGCACTACTCTCGGATGAGGACATCTTGCAGATGAGACTTGCTGCCGGCTGAATTCTTAGATGATGGTTTTACTCCCTTTGCCACTGTTAAGGCCCTGCTCTGTCCGCTGCACCCCATGACTCTCCACCGGAAGTGGTGTGTTTGCAGAGCCCGGGGCAGTGTTTGAGCGACACAGCTATCAGAGAAGTCAGGGGCCTCGTGCCCTCGTAGCCCCATCGTGGATTCTGAAAGTGTAATTTTCTCTTTTCTTATCAGAATATTGATTTCTGGAGTTGTCCAAATAAGAAATTTGTAATCCTCTCCCTACTCCCCCAAGGCCACTTTCCTCTTCAGTTGGAATTGAATCTGTTTCATTATAGGTACCAGCCATGCATTCATGATCCTCAGCCAGGGTGACAGAGAGGAACACTGTCACTGCTGTGCTCTCCTCTCTATCTTCTCACGGGGTCTGATCATGAAACTGCCATGCTGGATGCTCTGTGAATATCTTGAGATGTCTGGTGCTTCGCTATTTATTAATATTACGAGAAACGAGAAGCCACTATTAACGAACTATGAAATTCGGAAGGTTTTTTCCTACTACTAAAGTATTACTAAATTATTAAAAATCTGCTTTGTAAGTTTTTGCCATTTTTGCTTATATTTGGGGGGAAAAACGTGATCTGGATCACACTGGAAGTTTCACTGCATTCATTTCAAGGGTGGAACTAGAAGGATGATTTATCATGAGTTATGTTTACATGTGGGTAATATTTGAAAATGGATGTAAATATTGAAAATGTCTATAAGTCTGTCTTGCACATAATTTATGATCTATTATATTGCATTTTATTACATATCTTAAAAATATTATTCTTTATTATAACTTTATTTATACATTTCCAGTATTTAGATCAATGTCCCTGTAATCCTGACAATGTTATAAATCAAATTGTAATTCAGTCATATAGTTTGATTTATAGCTATTTTTAAGTTAAATTATAGTATTTTTAGGTCAGACTGAATTACCTTAGCATTACTGCTTTCAACTGCTGAATGTATGAAAGACATCCAATTTGATATAAGGGTGTGATAGCAAAGTGAAGGTCCTCAGAGTTTTGTGAGCATTTTGCGTTCCCTTACTTCTTTTAGTGGCTGTAGAGCATGATGTCTAATCAAGATTCCAGTGTCTTGCACAATTCCCACTTTATTGCTCTGGGTTTTCAGTGTATACCCAATTTAATACAAAATTGTTGCTTCATGAAGCTTAAAAGACTTTTGCTTTCTTATCAGGAAATGAACAAAAAGGGAATATGCAATCACCAAGAGACATATTCCCTAAGCACGGTGACAAACATCCTCAAAAGGACAGCTTGATGCCAAAAATATTTGGGGTATAGGTAAGGCTGTTCAGGGTGAGTGTGGGTGGCAGGGCCAAACCGCAGAGAGCTGAGCTGTGTCTGGGCTATGGTTTTCCATCAAAGGATTTGAGTTTTATAATAGATATTTTGTTGAAGGCCTTCTCCCTTGAGATAACTCGCAGTCTGTGCAATCTTTTCCTCATTCTTTTCTTGCCAGAATCTGGAGTTGACTCCCGAGTGTTCAGTGAGGGCAGAAACCTCATGTCTCCCATTGTAACTCTCCGATGAGAGCTGCCCTTTGGTTTCATGACAGGGAGCTGTGTTGTGCTGTCTCCCTCAGTAGGGACAGCCATTGATTTCCCACATCCCAACAGCACATATGTTTCTTTACCCACAGTAGTTCATGCTTGCTCAAGCTTTCAACTGGCCTGAAAACATGAGACCACCTATCTTGTGTTCTATGGCTGTTTGAAATAAAAGTCATGAGGAGAAAAATGGGAGACCAAATTAACCCTTGTCACTACCTGTGACCCTAAAGTTATCTTCTAGCCTTGAACTCTTAGCATGTCCTAAGCCCAAGATATAACAATCATCCCAGTGATTTCAGCCTTCGCAGTCTCTGCTGACGACAAAGCGTTTGCATCTAGTTCCTTTGCACAGTACTTTTAAAAATGACCTCATGATAAGGGCAAATGGACATTTGCATTTAGGTAGATACCCTGATTCATTTATGTGTTTAAAGTTACAAAGACTAAGCTTCCAGAGGAGACTCAACTTTTAAACCATGGTTTTCAAGAAAACTTCCAAGAGAAGTGTCCCCACAGTTGGAAAAGGAAGAACTGAGCACTATACTGCATATATGCTGTAAACCCTTAGGTCTGCTGTGATATTTAGGAACTACCAAGTTCCATTTGAATGACTCAGAAGTAATTACAACAGACCTGGACACAAAGGGCACTTGGCTTAAGTGGACACTGGCCAGTAAAATCACTGGGACATACTTAACATTAGGCCCTAAGTGTTCTCTGAATGAAAAAGAGGTATGAGAACCCAAGTCATTTAACATGTTTGAAAACTTCAGGATGAGGTCTGAAGAAAAAAAAAGCTGTATTTTTCTATCAAAATTGTTTTCCTCATGATGGATCAGGAAAGAGGGACATTCTCAGAAGTACTGCGGGGAATCTGAGCATGCTTCAGTGATTCTTGCCCAAAAAACAATCAGAAACTGTTGGCAGGTTTTGTTTACATTTGTATTGGGGATTTAAAGTCTCAGGAAATTTGGTCTTGGTCCAAAACCCTAGGGGTAAAAAATGACACCAGATGAAACACATTTGAATAACTTACAGTAGCTGCACAGAACAGACCCAACTTACAAGCCAGTGGGGAAAGGGGGAAAAAAACCTACAGAAAATAATTTTCCCCCTGGAAGAAGAGATCAAGTTGTCTTTGTGGTTAAGAGAGGAACCTTGCTTGCTTGTCTATGAGTTAATGGAGTGACTGTCACATGAAGGTTGACCTACATGAGCACATGGAGCGAGCAAGGCTGTGACCCACTTCCAGATCCTTGGCTCGGGGAAGGACGGCAACATGATGACTCTCCTATGCTTGGCCCACCCCCAGGTCCCAAATCAGCTGAGATTTAACAGTGAGTCAGAGGAAAGGAGTTAAGAGAACAACAGATACAACTTCTCTGTAGTGTGCATGCCACCTGTGTAGATGTTCAGAACTACCAATGTGTGAATATATTGCCCATCTCATGCACATACATGCACACCACAGACACCTAGCATAAAGCCACACATAGGAACTTGATAATGTCAGTTAGGACTCTGGGCTGTAATCATAGCCTTACTGCCACCTTTTACGTTGTGAATACATTGAATGGTTCATAGATCTTAAGAGATTTTTTTTAATGCAAGTATTTCTACTAAATGCACTTAATCCTTCTACATGTTTATATATTTTGGTAAAATTGATTTATTAGATACTTGGTATTTTAGTAAGATAAAATTTTCTCAGATGTTTGGTTAATGCTTTGATGTCAAAGTTGCACATTGCTAACTTAGAGCTCAGAGAAATCTGAAGCGCTTTGCAGTTTCCACAGCAGCCTGCAGTTTTCTTAGCTAGAAATTGCACAGTGTGTCCCTGCGCCTTGGCTCACACTTCTAAAATAACATCATTGGTAGTGTGATGCTGAAGTCACCAACCACTGGCTGTCTGCTGGTGACATTGCTATCACATAACCATTTATTTACTTCTCATGTCAAGCAAAAGCATTTTGGTCATCACCAAAAATATGGCATGTGGTTTTGAGTCTTGTTGTTGGAAGGTGTACATTTCTGTTTCTTTCTGCTGTTTTACCTCTATTTCCCATTAAGGATTGGCTCATTCATTCATTCATTTGTGAAGGAACACTTAACCAGAAATTATTACATTGCCTAGTGAAAGTGGAAATCAAGGGGCACTCCAGCTACACAGCACCTTCCAACAACCTCGCACTTAGCTAATGCTCAGTGAAGTCCCTCAAATCCACGTTTTCCTCAATATTAGTTAATAGTTCAGCTTGCTTCTGTCTGTTAATGGCGTTATACATCCAACCACTGGTACACCTGCTAATAAAACTGGGCAGCTGAAAAACAAGAGAGTAAATTCTAGTCCACCGTAAGAAGTTGACTTATTTTCATCTTTCTTTATCATTAAGGGGAAGGAGTTCTTTGGAAATAATTTTAAGTCTGAAAAGCCAGGGTAGCATGATACCTGAAATTTTTAATTTGTACATTCTGTTGTCTGATCATTTGCATGGAAGAGACAATAGTGCAGCGTCTGAATTATTCTTTTGTGCTTGGTTAATCTGTACCTCTCTAGATCGTTCTATTCCAAACGACATTTCTTGCTCTTTGGTTTTCAGAGGCATTCAAAGCAAAATTATCACAGTGATCCTTTTTTTCTGTTTTTTTTTAAAATCAATCTTAAAAGACCTGTGATTAAATTTTGATTTGTTAATGTAAATAAATTTCTTGCCAATGAGTATTATTGTTGTTAGACAACGAATGCAATAAAAAGAGAAATGCAAAGATCTGTCCAAGTGATTTCTCCCCCACCCCCTTTTACCTCTTCAAGTAAAACAAGACTTGACTGGGTAAACTTGTATTGTCAAAACCATATTATCAATCAACAGCAAAGTGCACATTTTTCATGGAAGTGAAATGAAAAATGTTTGACATCTGGTAACACATACATTGGCAGCTAGAACTACATGTGAAGGCACAATTGTGGAACTGGGCAGAATGTCACAGGAATTTTGGCTGACAGCTCCTACACCCATCTCCTGTTGCTGTTCCTGTTTTGCCACCCAGGTTCCTGATACACAGCATACAGCAGGGAGCCCGGAGACTAGTCCAGGAAGCCATGAGCCTCTCGCAGCAGGTGGCATGCTGAGAGAAAAAGCAGGCCTGACCAGCATCATGCCAAACCATTTTATTTTTCAGACCATACAACTTTAGAAGACTTGGTTTTACCAAAAGAAGTGTGTTAATTTCATTCTCTATGATACCCATTATTGTTTTTTCTGTGACTAACAGTTTGAAAATGCTAAAGGATAGACCCTGGCATCACAGAATAAATGAACTAGGCTATTTCCCTATATAATATAATGTTATGGGATTGTTCTTTTTTAAGAGAAAGAAAAGCTTGAAAGGTGGAAAGATCTTAACATCCATTGATTCACAATAGTCAGGAATGTGCCAGTCCAAGGCCAGGAGTGTGAAACTCACAAAGTGTGAGGGACTGTGGGTACATGAGCTGTCAGCCGCTGCCTCCCACAGTGCAGGGCAGCAGGAAGCTGGAGCATGGAGCCTGCCAATGGAATTTGTACCCAGGCATACCATATTAGTGGCAGGCAGCTTATCTTACTGCACAGTCACTTCCATTATGCTGTGAAGGACTTTCTTTTAAGATTTACTTTTATTGGAAAGGCAGATTTACAGAGAAAGAGACACAGATCTTCCATCTGCTGGTCTATTCCCCAAGTGGCCACAACTGCCGGGGCTGAGCTGATCCAAAGCAGGCACTTGTTCCCTGTCTCCCACATGGGTGCAGCATCCAAGGCTTTGGGCCATCCTCTACTGTTTTTCCAGGCCACAAGCAGGGAGCTGGATGGGAAGTGGAGCAGTCAGGACATGAACTGGCACACATATGGGATCCCAGGACATGGAAGGTGAGGATTTAGCTATTGAACCATTGCACTGAGCCCTGTGAAGTTTCTTACCCAAGGTGCTGCCCATTTGTGAGCCATCAAAAGGGATAACTTTCTTTTGCAAACAGAAGAGATTCACGTCCAGCAAGAGCAGGACATGGTCATTTTACTGAGGATGTTAATGACGGTTGACGACACAAGGCGGGCACGTCTTCAAGAAAAGTGTGGCTTTCCTCCGTAAGCGCACTCTCCTGGATTATTCCCAGCCCTGTCTCAGCCTCCTGGAAGTAACCGGCTCCCGGGGTCATGAGGCACTCACAGACATATCATACTGCAGTCCCTGAAATCAGGACTTTGCTGTTCTACTGCTGTGGTGAGAAGAGGGTGTTTGTTTTAGCAAAATCAAATATTGCTTGTTTAATTAGTAGCCTGACCAGCTGGTAGTTCTCAACTTACTAATAAAACTTCTTTCCCAAAACATGACAGAATCACATGCCTGAGTGAAGGTTTCCATTTAAAGCGTTGCCATCATGGCTTCAAGACCTAACAGCACAGGGAACCTGGCCTCGAACACACAAACTGGAACTTCCTTCTGTGGCTTTCACAGCCCATGATGGCATCCTGCTTGCTGTCTCATACTCCTTGGCAGATAATCCAATTTCGCTTCATTTTTCTATTTTTCCCTTACTCAGTCTCATTGCAGGTTACAATGAAAGACAACAGCTCTGACACTACCTCAGCATTGCAATCTCTGGCAAATGCTGCCTGCTCACCAGGAGCGGGTGGGGCTGGGGGTCCAGAGGGCACTGGATAACTAGCACCACTGAGATAGGAGCAAAGGTTCTGATGTTCATAGCATAGTGAGGTCACAGTGCTATGTAACATGACAGATAAAGAACTGGGAAAGAGGACCTGTAGGTGCCAGGTGTAAAAGTTAAGAAAATGGAAATGGCTAATTGCCATGGTATACAGGCTAAACTGTATACCATGTGTTATAATATTGCACTGAACATGTAAAAAGGTACAAGTAATTCATGTTGACTAAAAAAATATATTAAAATATGGAGAGAGTGAGCGAGCTTTGGAGACACCTAGCTTATCCTGAGTTGATTGTGGGCTTTGTTTTGTATCCAACCAGGTCACAGAAACTAATAATACGCAATGCTCATTTGGTTGTGAGTGCTAAGCTAATGATTTCTACTCTCAGAGCTGACAATACTTCCAAGAACTGTACCTGCCATTGCCATGGGAACATTGGGAAGCAAGAATCAAGGGTATGGGGGTCATTTAGGGCGATGGGTGGTGAATATGCTGAACAGACAAGGGGGAGCTGAGCAAAGCATCAGGAGGTTTTACCAAGGAATCAAACCTGAAGCTGAATGCTCAACACAGTATGAAAATCCAGGCTTCTGGCGCGGTACTGGAGTCAGTGAGTGAGACCTGGAGCTTGGGCGCTGCCATCCCCGACCCTGCTCCCGTTTGCTCAGTAAGACATGCTAGGCAGAAATGCACTCAGATATTTTCAAGTAACAAAAGTTGTAGAAAGTATGCTTTTTTGGATGACAGACTATTTGGGAGTCAAGAGTGATAGGACAAATTTACCCTTTTACACAAAGGGGGCTTTATTGGAAACAGTATTCCATGAGTGATTTGATAGGACACTTTTAAAAATATCCTACTCCCCATCGTTGTTCCCAGTTACAATGCACTTGCATGCCTCCCAAGGTCAAGTACAGACTCCTCCTCCTCTGTTCTGCCGAGGGCGCTGGGGTTGGTTGTGAAACCGGCAGTCATTTGCAACTACGCACTCCCAGCTTCCGCAGCCTGGGTGCCAGTCAGCCTGTCAGAGCTCACAGTAGAGTGTTTTGTGGAACACAGTGCCAACCAGCATTTTCCCTTTGTACACATCAGCCACCGTACTGCCCTGTAGCACAGTACCATTTTCTGAGTAAACAACAGTTACTATGGGTTCTTCAGATAAGATGTCCTGGATTCGAATCACCTATCAAAGCAATAACAGGTTAATATGACACTAAATTTACAGTAACATTCAGTCACATATATCAACTCTGTCAGAGCATTTTTCCCTAAGAAGCCATTTTACATCATGAAATTAGAAAAACTATGTTTTCTCCAAAAAATATATTCTAGGTACATGTTTCCTAGCTTATAGACAGACAGGTTTTGATCATGCAATTGTTGGTGGGTTGGTTGGTTGGCATTGTTTATTTGAATTGCAGAGAGTCAAGCAAAGAGAGGTCTCCCAACCTTGGGTTCATGCCTCACATGTCTTCAGCAGGCACCACAGCTTGGTGAGCCTGAAGCCAGGAGTGAAGAAATCAGGGTTTCCCCCATGATTGGCAGGAAACCATACTTGAAGGACTCTGCTGCCTCCCAAGGTGTGCATTAGCAAGAAGCCAGAGTCCAGAGCCTGAGCCAAGAATCGAACTCAGGCAATCCCGTAAGGAGTGAGCCATCCAAGTTAGGTGAATTTTTAATAGTTGGAGAGGATATAGACCTGCCAGGAGTTAATCAGGAAATGGAAATGAACAGCATAGCTTGAGTATAGCACATTGGGGAGCATTGGGGACCAGAGTAAATGTGGCAGATGGGAGTGTTGCTGTACTAGGAGTCAAGTATGTTTTCATGTATTCCCAGATAAATTGGGGGATTTGCTTGTTTACACTTAATTCCTTCTGGTCTTTAAATTCACACAAACACACACACATACACACACCCTGAAAAGTCATATCTCTGCCACGTATACCTCTCTTTCTGAATGTAAGGTTCCATCTCTAAATGCCTAAGATTTTACAATGTCCATTTCCTTTACTTAGTTGAAAACTTTGATTGTATCATTAGCCACACTGTTGTCATATTAAACTGACCTTGTGAACTTATTAATATTTGATCATCCTGGGTTAAAACAAAATAGTAATTTTATATAATTAAACCTAATAAGATGAACCCTAATGACACCATGGCAGGTGACCAGGGTCACGTCTCAGACCCACTTACTTGCCTATCTGGGAAATGAGTGAGACCAGATTATTTCTAAATTCCCCATCAGTTCTTAACTATCTATTATTAATCCCTTAGGATAAAATACTGGGACTTGAAGAAAGGTTACCTACATCAAAACAACACCGAACATAGCAGAGTGAAAATGCCAGTCTGTGATGGAGGAGATCAGTGGGAACATTGAAAATGACCTCTCCAAAATAGCTGTCTTGGGAAATTGTAACATTAACGTGAGCAATTCCTTACAGGTGCACCTTGGCTTCTCCAAGGCTCTTGTTAATAAAATGACATCACTCTTCCTTGAGGCAGTCTATAAATAATGGACTGTTATTACTTTAAGCTATTCCCTACCAGGTTTTTCATTAGAATGGAAGACTATTTTCTAGAATCACAAACCAAGTCTATGCCATAGCAAATGGCCCATGTTCACCCAATCCGCTAACAAGAACAAACTAGAATCCAAAATTGTTCTCAGGGACGAACAGGGAACATTCCATAGCATACATTTCTGAAATCCTATTAAATACACCACTCTGCAATCCTAAAAGCTAAAAACTAGTGAAAGGCACAAAAGGTTGTCATGATCAAAATTGCCCAGTAAACCGAGGGATAATGAATTAAAGATGTAACTAGGATTCCACAACCGATTTTGTTTAATCCAAGAGTCACAGGCTTTAAAATTTTGTTTCTCACAAGTGGATAAGACTGACTTTTAAAACTACGTTACCAAGCAATGCGGCAACAGGCAAAAGTGTAGAAATCATAGCATGGGTTTTATAGCAGTAACAAGTATAGTAACTGCATACTGAAAACTCAAAACACACCAGATAGGTTATGGTAAGTGTGCAAAAATGCCTGTGACAAATTAGGTTCAAATTCTTCTCTGCAGTGGCAAAATGATCTTCTGGTTAAAGACCAGGGATAGATAAAATGGGATCTTTGGGTACCCTAAGGTGAAGAACAAGGTCCCCTAAGCCAGCATCACTCCATCAAGTGACTGCCAGAAAAGTCCAGAGAGGGTGGGTCGTTGAGCTTTGAACTGCTCCTTTGCACTGCCCTGTGCAAGATCAGCAGGAGCAGGTAGCACAGGAGGAAGTCAGAGCAGGTGGCTGTATTTTGCAACTCTTTTCAAAAATGTTGTGAATTGTCAAATAAGGAAAAGTCACCCTTGAGATAAAGACGTGGACTCCCACCCAGTGCTGATCCCCTCGGCCCTGTTCCTAGCAGTGACAATGAGAAGGGTGACTTAGATAGAGCTGGGGTATTTATGCTCCATGCTTTCTGCCTACAGAGTCACCAGGCAGAGACCGTATTCCTCTCAGATAGCTTGTTCCATACAGAGCTGTTGTCCATTCTGACTCCCATAGCTACCTCCTGGCCACCTCCTGGCCACCTTGCTGGCCCAGAAATTTTTCATTTTCCCCTGTTGATTTCCCTACACTTCAGACAGCTTTTCATTGAAGTCCCTTCAAAGTACCCTCAATTTTCTGTCTAGATTCTGATCAAAATGTCTTCCTGAGGTTTTTTTTTTAAATTTTTGCTCATTTGGGTCATCCATCTGGGATGCCCCATTTTATTTGTATAGATTATTGAGAATGTTATTTATTATTTCATGAAGAAAAAGAAGCTGAGCATAAAATTACTGATGCACCAAACTGACCTCTGATGCAGGAGGATTCTGCTCATCGTAGAAGAAGATTTTCATGCCATTGGGGTGACAGCCAACCCAGAGATCTCCCGTCTTCCGATCCACAGATATATTGTCCACGAGAGTGTTAAATTCAAGGGACTTGCAATATGAAAACAAGGAGAGAAGGAAAATAAAGTGAAAACAATTCAAAGCTACACTCCTGTCTTTTTCTGGTTATACTGCAGTGTCCAGGAACACAATGCTATCTCACTCAGTCAGCCATGCCAGGGAACCCCTCTGGCCTGTTGTCCAGTGCCAGCATTTTGTTACTTTCCAGGACAGATGGAGCGGGCAGAAGAGACAAAAAGAGAGGAAAAGACTTAAAAGTTACTGAAAATAATTTGAACCAACATCTGTCCAGGAACCTAAAACTTAAAAAAGAAAAACAACTTTGTAAGTAAAGCACAGCATAAAAGTATTCCTTCCAAAATAGCAGGTGCAAATGACATTTTATAAACATTCAGAATACAGCCAGGACACGCAGATTCCCTTCTGATGAGAACTCAAATGAAATGTAGGTTCCTTAATGGCTAATCAGAAGCTGCACAGCCAGACGAGAAAGCATCACCCAGGGCCTAATTTTTGCATTGGAGCAGAGGGAAAGTTTGTTCTTTAAGTTTCCTGATGTTATTCAACTCCCTGCTCTTGTGTTGTTTATTCTCTAAATGCGAGTTTCAAACGTGCAATTATTGCCCAGATGGCTGTTGAGCTTTGGACCAGGATCATAAATAATACCAATGATTCTTAATTCCACCATTCCTCATCTTGGCTGCCTTCTACCAGAGAGAAATCCCAACCAGTTGTTTACCTCTAATTCTCAATGGAGAACACACTATCCCCATGTACCTCTGAGTCCAGCATGCCTTAGTGCCCAAAGACCCCATAAATCCCTGGCTGGGACTCTGCAAAGGCCAGAGGGTAGGCAGACAGCCACTGCCTGCTCAACGTTTCCTCCTCAAAGTGAAGCTTTCCTCCTCATGAGTCTGCAGAAGTACAGGGCTCAAGCAATACAGTATGGCCTCATTTCCCTCTTGGTGCACAGTTCAAACTGCTTATGCTACACACAGGCCAGGGTGGGCCATGGAGGCAGCTGAGCAAGGCAGCGCTGGTCAAAAGCTCCAGGATTGCTCCACCCTGCTGACCTCCTTCCCCCGCATTGTCAGCAGGCTACCAGCGAGGGAAAGCAGTGAATTAGGACTCTGCTGTTATCTTTGGAGAGGGCAAGTAATTGGTGAATCACAAGGCAGGTGGAAGCTTGCTAAGGTGAGAATGGGTAATAAGGGGAGGGTCAGAAGGACATGGAAAACTGGGGGGTCGTGTCCACCCACCCCTACCAATCTCTCTGCAGGCAGACTGGCACCTGGAACTGCAGGGTCTCCTGTGAACTTGACTTTTGTTGAGGAGGAACTTGAGGGTCCAGCAGGGAGCCCACTCCTGGCCCAGTACTGAAGCCTTGCCTTTCCGGTAAGTAACTGTCAGTTCTGCCAGCTCAAAGCATGTAAGTGCGGACCACACGCATCTGTCTTATGCCCATGACGCCAACTGGGAAATTTTACTTTTCTTAGGCAAGAAACTTGCATAGACCACTCTCTGACAACTGTATTTTCTGTTAGCAACTATTGTGTCTTTTTAGAGAACAGGTTCCCTGAAGTGTGACTAACTCACAGACTTGTGTCTTAGACTCTCTTTTAGGAGAATAAAGAAGTATTTTCATGTAGTAAAATATACATTAAATTTTGCAGCTTAACTATTTTAAATACAATTACTATGTTGTGGAACCACCCAGACCATATATCTCCAGAACTCACCATCATTCCAAACTCAAATGCTGTCCTGTTTCAGTGCTGATTCCCGGTTGTTCTCTCAGTCCCTAAGCATTTGCCTAGGTACTTCATGGCAGTGAAGTCATACCACATTTGTCCTTTGTCTTTGGTTAATCTTACCAGGCAGGATGTTTTTGAGGTTCATTCGTATGGCAGCTCCACCTGGGACATCAAGCTCCTAAAGCTTCATAGTCCCTTCTATGATAATACCATACTTGGCCGAATGGTAATAATAATCCCATCCATAATTTATCCCAAATATTACAGTTAGACCCAGTTAGTTCATCACATTTGTTTGCCCTCTAATGTATTAAGTAATTTCTGTTAATCAATATAGTCTTGCAAATAAAAGACTAATGCTACGGAATGGTTATACTAAAGCAAGGCATGGGCTATGACCAAAAGTGGGACCCAGATCAGAAATAAGCCTGGACTCGGCTCTTGCCTGGCCGGGAGTAGAGTCCTACCCTGCTTTGTTGAAATGAGTTCTGTGATAAACTTCTTTAACTTTCAATGTACAGAAGTCTCTAAGATGATAACCATAGTATAATTTTAGTTCATCAGCCAGCATGAGTGTGTGAAATTCCTTTTTACCTCATCTGATACAAACCTAGCCCTATTGAAGATTTTCAATGTCAAACATGACATTATACTTGATGTTGTTTCAAAACAGTTTTCTGTGAGTGTGGCTCCACATGCCAGCACCTTGGTTGTGCTTTGGGGAACACCCACATGAGGGTCCCTGGCATTGTCTCCTGCTGCAGGTGTTCAGGGCAGGGCAGCAAGGTTTTGGTGTCTTCAGCCCTTTCTTAAAGGGCTGCTTTTCAACCTGCTTCTCTTTACTCTGAGTCTCTCTGGCCTCTTCTTTGAGTACTGCCCCTTCCACAGAACCTCAGCTAGAGTGTGTGGGGACAGAGGTAAACCCCTGAAGTGTACCCAGCTAGACCATCTCAATTCAGCAAGTATTTGTTGAGTGCCTCCTGGATGCTGGGAAATGTTCCAGAAATAAACTGGAGGAAAAAAAAAGCATCTTCTTGTGGAGCTTGTGCCTTAGTGGGTATGTTAGATGCTAAAAATAATAAATAAAATATATAGTTTGGGGGTTCTGCAAAAAGTGCAAATACATATTATTTAAAAACATACATAGATTTCAGACTTTTTTGCACAGAAATTCCATTTCTACAAATTTTCAAAAGTTCTCTCATGAATAATAAATGCTGAAAGGGAAAATAAAATGGGAAATAAGTATGTGGTTGGGGGGAAGCAGAGCTTCCAATTTCAATCAGGCAGTAGGAGAAAGTTTCACTGAAGTGACATTCTTTTATATTTAATTTTAATCTGAAAGGCAGAGAGATAGAAACAGACTGATCTTACATCTACTGATTCACTCCCCAAATGCCCACAATGGTTGTGGCTAGACCGGGTCAAAGCCATGACCTAAGAACTCAATCCAGGCCTCTGACAGGAGGCAGGGGCCCAAGTATTTGAGCCATCCACTTGCTTCCTCCAAGGAGGCCATGTACTTGCTTCCTACATGTTAGTGGGAATTTAAAATCAAAAAGAGCTGGAACTCAAACCCAGGCACTGTGGTATGGGATGCGGGCATCCCAAGTGGCATTTTAGCCACCACACCAGATGCCCACCTCTCAACCGGAAAGGAAGGAGAAGTCCTGAGACTTGGAGGAAGGTCCCTGTGAGCAGAAGGAGCAGTGCTGGGTCCTGAGGCAAGGCCAGAGACACCTGCAGGCGGGAGCGGGTGAGGAGAAGACGTGGGAAATAAATACAGAAAGAAAACAGGCAGCCAGCTCACACCACAGTCCTTTGAGCCTATAGGCTTTATACATACGGTATAAGGCAGTTTTGTATTCAAAATAAGTGGGGAGGCAGGGCAGGCATTTGACACAGCAGTTAAGATTCTGGTTAAGGCATCCATTTTCCAAGTTGGATACTTGGTTTCAATCCCTGGCTCCAGTTCTGGTTTCCATCATTAGTGCTAAGGTAAACCCTGAGAGACAGGGATGATGGCTCAAGCAATTGAGTCCATACCATACATGTGGGAGACCTGGGTTGAGCTCTGGGCTCCTGGATACAGCCTGGGCTGTTGCAGCATCTGGAACCAGGAGATGGCCTTTCTCTTTCTCTCTCCCCAATCCCTGAAGAATTAATAAAAAGTTATGTATAATGTATATTACATAATATATATATATATAATGTGTGTATATAGTATAATGCATATGGAGGCTATTTCTTAAGAAAGTGGGATATAGAAGAAAAGTAGACAGAGGCCATCCAGGAGCCCACTGCAAAGTTTCAACATTGCAAGGGCAGCAAGATTCCAGGTCTCGTAGGTCCGAGGACGGTTTGCTGTTCCCATCCTGCCCTTTAGGAAAAATGCACAACAAACACTTAACAATGTTGGTGACTCTTAATAAAGGAGTGAAAAATTAGTTCTCATCCACTTCAATTAAGCAATCCTGTTTTGTTCACTTCTAATTTCACAAATCAATTAGAATCTAATTATCACTCTGCAAACTTACAGTGTTAATACATCTTACCTTCAATAGAGTTAAAGTCCAATTAGCATGCTTTTCATACACATGAATCTTATGAGCCATCAGTTCAGCCACATAGACATACCTTGAGAGAAGAAAGAGCTGCATCAAAGTACTGGGAGTAATTGCAATTCAGAAGTCACAGTGGACTTGTAATAACTTCTAGGAAGAATTCTGCTTAGGGACTGAAAATAGAACTCATCTCAAAGCACACTACACTGAGAAAGAACCCACTGAGTTTACAATGCACAAAAGGTTAATACTATGGAAGGTTATTCCTAAACTAGGAAACTTGATCTTAATCAGTGTGGAAAAACTCAGCCCTCCCCATAGCTCTTCCTAGCTGGAAGCAAAATGCATCACAGTGCTTCTCCCAGTTTGTTCACACAGCCACACGCCCCAGGTTCTGCCTGTCCTGGATGCTGAGTCTCTCTCAGGGCAGCTGCAGGCCTGCAGGCCAGTGCTTTGAAAATCATGCTATGTTTTAAGCAATGGAAAAACAGCACTGACCAGAATCTACCTCCCCGTCCCAGCCTGGGTCTGGTCTCGGCCCTGCAGCTTTGGTGCTGGGCACAGAGTTCAGGGCTGTACACCACGAAGGTTCACAGCTCAGACCTCATGTTCTCAGCACCGTGCAAGGAAAAGGCAGCGCTGGATTATCATTTGTTGGTAAGGCCCAAGATGACACATGTCAGTGAGGATACCCACGCTGCTCTATTATGAACTTAGAAATCCTTGATGGTTCAAGATGAGAAAGGACATGGGGATGGATGTACAGGTTTAGTGTACACACCAATGCCACACAACAGAGGGGCCTCAGTCGAATGCTAATCTGTGAATTTTTAACTGCAAGACCACCATGAGATGATTTCTTCAGTCAGTGGTCAGTCAGGATGCTGCTGAGTTAAGGACTTTCTATTGTCACAGTGGAAATGTCTTCTTTTAAAATCTTAGCATTTGATTTGAGACGGAGAGACACTACAGACAGACATATGTCATCTGTTGATCCCTGTCCCCTCAGTCCAAGGACAGAAATGGAGAAACCAATACACAGATGGCAGAAAGTTGATAAAGGAGGAGGGCCTGGCTTTATCTTTTGGCGCAAACCTCTTATCTTGTCACAAACCTGCACCACTGATGTATAAACCTATACACTATTCCTTTTATGACGTGAGGGTATTTCACAAAGTTTATGGGGAAATGAAATCCAAAGAAATTTACTTCGGTGTGTGCATTCCCAAGTCCACACCTAGTTTTTCAATTTGCCATGAACTTTTTGAGGACTCTCTTACATTCAAAATTTTCCTTTCGAAATGAAGCTAGTGAGGAAAAGCAAATGTTTGTCTCTTGAAATTTCACTCTTTTCCAAACAGAAAATATGATATGCCTTCACAAAATAGAAGTCTTGGATACATTTAACTCCATGAAACAGTAAAATATTTTACAACTCTCCTAATTTCCTCTTACTAGTATAGCATGTTGAGATGCATCCCATTGCTTAGAAAAAGGGCATGCTTTAAAGACATCCAATAAGACTCAGAGTAGACCCATCATGTTTTAAAAGTGCACCTACTTGCCATCAGGTGAGATGTTGATTCCATTGGCAAAATCAAATCCTTCTGCCACCACTCGAACGTCATTGGGACTATAATAAACAATGAAGGACCATGCTAACCCCAGATGCAACTCCCAGGATTTGATGTAGGTGTCAGCAAAATAGTGATCATTGGTAGCATAAAAGTGTTCAGGTCCCACAGCGATAATGTCATTCACACTGTAAATGAAATACATACAGATATTAGAAGTGACATGCTGTACGTTGGGGCTTGCTGGCATTCATTAATATCTATTCCCAAAGTCAAGATATGAAATAGAGCCTTTACACTAGTTGTGGTATCAAATAACGAATATGGAATCATTCTTACTTATGCCATCCTCAAAAATAATAAATGTACAAAGAAACTCAAAGGGAGTGATCACAGCATTGTAACACAAAGCCGAAAATCCTTCTTAAAATAGAGTTCTGGAGTGTGTGTGTGTGTGTGTGTGTGTGTGTGTGAGACGCACTGTATTCAGTACATACTAAATTAAGCCAGGGATCATTACCAGTACAAAATGTAGCTGTGGCCACACAGCGCAGACTCTCAAGAATCCAAGCCTTCATAAAGCAGCAGAGCAAATGTCAGCCTGGAGACGTGCATTTCAGTTAAAGCTGTGCTAGCATGAGCTGCATGTTGCAGGGAAGGCCTATACTTGCGTGTATTGGGGCCTCAGTTTCCCTAACTGTGAAAGAAGGAAGACTAGGTCATTTTCTACCCTCAAAGTCTCATGATTGCAAACTGGTTGAAATGTATGCCAGGGTTTTTGTTCTCTCATTAGGATTCTATGTTACTGAAAATGTAAGACATAGGAGTCTATTTTTCTGCTCTAATAGGTACACCAGCAAATGTGTAAGTGACTCATCCTGTGCTGATGGAGGTGACAGAAGTTCCCCAGGGCCAGGACCTGGGAGACAACGATATCGCATTAGCCCTAATGCAGCTCTGAGCTCCTGGGCCAGTTAGGCAAGCATACAGACCCTCAGCTTTTGCACCTGTAAAGAGAGGTTAAATGATTTTCCCAAAGCCATACACTCATTACTAGAAGACTAAGGGTCAGAATCTAAATTTGTGGAGTTGCCCAGGGAATTACAATGAGACAATGCCTGTTGTGTGCTTTGCAGGGAGCTTGCCTTTCATAAATCCCCCATTAATGGCAGCCACTAACACTGCATGAAAAAAATGGTTTAGGAACTTTGGATTGGTTTGTACAAGCTCCAGATATAAATCTGTAAGCTGGTTTTATTCTTGCTTTGTTAAAAGTAATTTTCTGAAATTCATATGGTTTATGATAATGTGCCTGTTTTTCCTTAAAAAAAAAAGTGGAATGGTTTAAAACTACTGCTTTGAGCATCAGTGGCTCCACTTGCTATTAGCACAATGCAGGGCTACAGCATATTGCTAGAACTTAAAAACCTGGGTTAAGAAGAACAAGAAATAATCAAAAATAAGACCCTGTGCCATGCCTGAAATACAGTAATCAACCAAAAATAATAGTGATGCTTTTATTAAAAATAGCATGCTTTACTTATAGTAGATTTTGCAGTTGGTATATCAGTGCCACCAACAACCATGAACACAAAGGGGAACCCCAATCCTTCCATTGGGAAGACAGAATCCTCCGGTTATTTTTAGTTTGCTGCCAAGGAGTAATGCTTTTACAAGTGGCTCAGAAAAAAAAAATAATAATCCGACCCTGGGAAACTGGATGGGTCTGAGATTTCCAAGACTAAATGGTGAAACCAATAAAATATGCCTTCACTATTTCCGTAGTTGCTCAGATTACCAGCTCTGGATTCAAGCTACCCAGACTAAAATCCTTTTTGTACTATTTACTGATCATGTCATGCAGAGTAACTTAGTGAATAACCACCAGGCCTCCACTATTTTTTCTCAATTCACAATAGGTGTAATAATGAAGCCTAAATTAGGGGATATTTGTAAACAGTTAATAAAACAATCTGCCTCAGTTGACTAGGGTAGCATCTCACTTGTATTAAAGGCATACCAAGTTGTTATCGTTGCCATTAGCCCAGCTTCACATTCTACATGTTATTCCCCACTTTAGAAGTGGCTTTCTTCACATTCTCCATTCTGCCCAAAATATATTTGTTGGATAAATGCATGAATAAGCTCTTTCACCAAAGGGTTTCTCTGAAGCCTCATTAATTCCAAGCTTTGAGCAGAAACCCTGGGCTTTAGTTTCTACTTGGCCCCTAAATAGTGGATTGACCTGTAACCAGTCACTCAATTTCTCTCCATCTTAGTTTCCTCCTCTTCAAAACCACCAGGTAAGAAAGGAGGGGAAAGAAGATTGGCACATGACAAGCACTTTACCTGGTGTGCCAGTGGAGACTTACCAAAGGCTGCATATAAATGATTACAAATAAGGGGTTGGGATTCTAGACAATCATAACAATGAGGAGGCAAAACTGTTTTTGGAAGATCATGCCTGATTGCAGTCCTAAATTCCTCAATGATTTCAGAAACCACATCTTCATAAGGCAAGTGAGGAAGTTGGTTGTGTGTTGGGTTGGCCAGGGTTGAATGCATGCACCTGTTTGCTTTCCCTGCATGGTACATTGTTCGGGAGTCTAGGACAGAGGAAAGTGCTCCTTTTGATTTGCTGTTGTACAGATGTTGTACAGCCCGACAGCACTACGGGCGGCACAGAGGCATTCAATGGGGGGCAGGGGACTCTCAAGTATGCATCTCTAAGTCCCACAACATCTGAGAGTCAGTGTTTTATAATAGAAATGGAAAAACACTGCACACCAGTGTAGAATTTATCTGTGAAGTCAGGTTTGGGCTTGAAACAAGAGAACTGCTTCCTTGGTAAAAGCTTGACTAGATTGTGAGGTCAGAAGCCAGGAGCCATCAGCCAGCCTGATAACTGTGGGCATAGGCCTTCTTTTGGGGGTGTGGTGACCCTGTAAGGCCTGTACTAGAGCGCCTGGGGGAGGCGGTGCTCACAGAAAGGCAGCTGTACCTGGGTTAGACACCGGACACTGCCAAGGGGAGCAGAAGCTGCAGCACAGTACCTGGGCAGAAGCTTGTGTTTGATAGTTTTCAGATACAAAAGTGATTTCTCTTTTTCTTGGAACTGAAACAACTCCACTGTGGTCTTGAACTGTGGATGGTTCACCACCATCAGGTACACGACATGATCTGAGAGAGATGAAAGATTGACACATTAACGGAGCTCTGAGCTGTCAGCCTTGTCTCCAGAACGGCATCTCAGCTCCCCTCCAGCCAGTGCTTAGGATGTCAGGCACACGGAGTATTTCCATCTCCTTGTGGAGAGAAGCATTTGTGATTACAACAAAGAAAAGTGGCTGAAAGAAGAACCAGTGATAATCTCTAGAAACTCAAAACTCCACAGGGGAAAAACATCCTTGATTTAAGAAATGAGAACTAAAGAGCTGCTTACACTTTCTTGGTTCAAATGGGCTTCACGAGACTTAGAGTTGAAAAAATACACAAATAAATAAACCAACAATGCGGGGACTGCTAATTTAAGGAGACATGCTCAGGTATCATTTACACGGCCTGAGATGATGCAGTCCAGGAGCAACAGAGCAGCTTCCTGGAGTCCAGGTGGAGTCCTGATGACGTCACCACAAAGCTGTGAACCAAGTTGGCTAACGTCACAGCAGGCTCTCCACGTAAGAAAAACAGTGAGCTTTGGGAAGCCTGTGATCTGATCAAGTCAGGTTTTCAAGGGGAAAAGGTGCAAGGTGCACAGCCTGAAATGAAGCAACATCAACAGAGAAGCAGCTTCATGAATCCATTCAACAGGCAGGTGCTTTTTTTTTTTTTTAAAGATTTATTTTTATTATTTTCTCATTGGAAAGGCGGATATACAGAGAGGAGAGACAGAGAGGAAGATCTTCCATCCGATGATTCACTCCCCAAGTGAGCGCAACGGGCCGATACTATGCCGATCCGAAGCCAGGAGCCTCTTCCGGGTCTCCCACGTGGGTGCAGGGTCCCAAGGCTTCGGGCCGTCCTCGACTGCTTTCCCGGGCCACAGGCAGGGAGCTGGAAGGGAAGTGGGGCTGCCGGGATTAGAACCGGCGCCCATATGGGATCCCGGGCGTGCTAGGCGAGGACCTTAACCACTTGCGCCACCGCGCCGGGCCCAACAGGCAGGTGCTTAATTCCTTTGAGTTGGTATTAAATGCCACAAAGGAAAATAAAACTGCATAAATGGAGGGAGATGAGTTTTCTTCATGAGAGTAAAGGTTATTCTTTTTGATGAGGTGAAAAAATAAGAAGAAATCATGTGATTTTCTAAGGAAAGAACATTCCAAACTGAGGGAATATAGTCTACAAAGAGCCAGGGCAGGTATTCCGCTGCCTCCTTTAATAGGGAGGTTGTGACTGGGGCAGAAAGAAGGCGAGAGTGGAAAGTGGGGCAGCATATGGTGTTTAAGTCATAGAGGCAGGCAGCAAGCATCGATCTTGTGGAGGCTCAAGGTCACATCCAGGTTCTACCTCCTGGGAATTCTGTGCCAAGGAAGAAACATAGCCTGAGGTCATGGCACACATGCAGGCCTGTGGACAGGACTGGCTCATGGAAAGGACTGGCCCAGAGGGTGGACCGGGCAAAAGGAGACAGGAAGGAAGAGAAGAGGAGGGAGGAAGAGGAAGGGAGGGGGTTAATGAGGAACCACTGGCTCTCAGGGCAGCAAATGTAATGGGGAAAATGGGGAACAAGGGCTCCTCTGCTGAGGAGAGGGAGGCAGTGAGTACCCAGGTTGTTTTCCACCTTCGTCTTCATCTTACAACTTGTAATAAGAGCTACTGTCCAGGCCTCCCTCAGACAGACTGAGTCAGAATCCTGGGATCTGAGTTCTGGGAGGAACCAGTTCAATCCCTGGCTCCAGCACCAGTTCTAGCATCCTGCTCAGAGGGACAGTGCAAGGCTTCAAGCAGCTGGAGTCCAGCTGTGACTGTGCTCCAGCCCAGGGCAGTTCCAGCTATTGTGGGCATTTGGTGTCTCTTACATATCAAGAAAAGGGGAAAAGGTCAGTAAATGTTGTTACCTTCATCTATGAATGTACTAATCCCATGAGGGTTAAATGAGGCTGAATCAAATTGACTCCCAATAATGTCCAGTTCCCACACTGGTGGATCGTCTTCATTCAGGTCCATTAGATACATTTTTCCAGGCTTATCAGGCTCAAAGCACTTTACACCAGGATATTTCAATCCCTTAGAAAACACAAAGAAGAAAAAGCAGGCCCATCACGAAGACTTCCCAGGCGAATGGAACAGTGCACAACACACAAGTTCGCACACTGCTCTGGGAACAAGGTATCAGGGCCTCCTTTGGAGCCTCTAACCAGGCTGTGCCATGGACCCACCAGGATCCCTGCGAGCTGCCTGCTCCACCCAACCACGCCTACAAATTCTTTCATCACTCAAAGCACAGTCATAGGTATGCCATAGCATGGCCTCTAGTCCACAGAAAGCTGCAGAACTGCATGGTTTAAATAAAGGAGGACATTGATATATGTAAGTTCTTAGCTTGAAATACTCTGGGAGAGAGTAACTAAGACTCACAGAGCTAATGAAAGCCAGTCCGTTGGGCATTATCTCCAAATCTTCGGAGCCATATCCTAAAAAGAGAAAGTGCAAGTCGCTGAGTATTAGTGAAGGTCCAGCTCTCCTCACTCCTCATTGGAAAAGAGAGACCTATTAGCTCTTCTTTGATAGAATACTTCATTTCCTTCATTTATTATTCGTACTAGGGGAGGTGATTAATTGGAAACTTAAAGGATAGTAAAATAATATTGTTGTAAAGTTGCTAGAACTTATTCTTTAGAATCTGAAGGCTCTTGCACAAAGTCCACAGATATACACAGAATATATAGAATTGGAAACAGTGCTGCTTTTCTAAAGCTATAAACTGTGTCATTTCATACCAGTTAAACCTTTTGAAAACTACATTAGATGTACAAACAAGTTTCAAATGTTTAAAAGAAGGAAAATTTTCAGTTGATCAATGACTTACATTTACTGGTAATTATAAGTCTCAGTAAAATAGCATTATTTTTAATTTGGTTAGCACAAGATTTTACTTTAAGACAGATGAGCTATTTGATTTTTTATTTATACTCTTAGCAAACATGTATATTTTTGAAATGCCCAGTGATGTTTGACATTAACATCTTATTTTTCTAGAAAACATAATTCAAAGAAGATAATTTAACCAAGTTCACACGTGGTAACTGAATAGATCTTTCAGTTAGCACTCCGAACTTAGTAGTCAAACAAATTTAAGGGACTATAAACAACCCATCACACACAAGAAAAACGAGAATCTCAAACTGTCTTCAAATTGCCAAGCTGGTTGAAACCAGAGGCTATTGGAGCCCTGGGCGCACCCACTGGTTGTCTACCAGTTGCTGTTCCCTGCTCTTGCATCTTCACTGACAAGTCTGTCTCCCATTGAGGACCCCAGAATTACTTTCCAAACTTCCTTTGCAGCTAGGGCCCCAGCCTGCTCCGCAGCTCTGCCTAATGAGATCTAAGGGGGAAATTTGCAGAGAGCTTCTGGAAGCTTCTTCCTCTTCCATATTGACAGAGAACTGCACGAGGAAAAACTCTGGTAATTGCAAAAATTGTGAAAGCTTCTTCTTTCCTCATGATTTTTAAGAAATGCATCTTTTACTCACTGTCTCCTCTCTTTCTCCTCCCCTCTCCTGCCATCTCCCCAGGTTATAGTCTGATGAAACCAATCATGATCTGACCATGACTTTTGGTCTACTGCTCAAGCAAAAACAATCAAAACTGCCAATACCTTGGCAATCCATTGGTGAAATCAAAAGTCAAACAACATAGACTTTATAATTAACTACTGGCTTAATAATCTACACCTGGTTCCAAGTTTTATCTTTGAGCAAAGTTAATTGGGCACTTTAAATAGAGAATGAATACAGGCAAGTTCAAAAGCAATGCTTCTCACATACATACCAATTCCTTTAACTAAATGACAGTTAGGAAGTTCCACTGGGCTTACTTCACGGAAAACATTGAATCGCCTTCTAGAGGAAAGAAAGAAATAAAACACACTTAAAACGGTTTAGGAATTAGAATGGAATCACAAGGATAAGCAGTCCAAAGAAGTTGTCCTTAACTGCTGCCTTAGTCAGTGTTCCTGGCAACTACAATTGCAGCTCACAAGACTGGAGCAGGGCAAGTGGCGTCCTCTGGGCACAGCTGTTCATATTTACATATCAGAAATGGACAGACACACTAAAGGGATACCTACTGTCCTCTCCAGGGCTCTGTGCATGTTGACAAAGAGGGCAAGGGTTTCATCTGTGACACAAGGAGCTCCATGTGCAAAGCCAGGTTCAATGGCATCCTGGTCCTCATTTATTCTTTTAGGTATTGGGGCTGCTGACAAATGGCTTTGTCTTTGTCTGCCTGGGCTAGCTCCCCAGATTGAACTGGACATTTGTTTTCACACACACACATGCATTCATTACACCTAAGAGCATCCACATCACAAAGGATATCTGAGTGAAACCGAGTGGCAAAGTGATGTGAGAAGTACCAGCAGGCTTGTTAGCAGTGCAAAGCTATTGTTGAGGCATTGGAATGAAATGAGCCACCACATTAGCACAACCAAGAGAGTTGAACAATATTTTTGAGGTCTAGTGATATCATGTAGTCACAGTGAATAGGAACAACTGAGTGTCCCTGGATATCTTATTTGGCTAAAGATAGGCCAAGAAATTCTTAACTTGCCTTCCTGTGAATTTAGTCTCACAGTGGGAGGGGAATGACCTAGTGGTGAATAGATGCTTGATGAAATTTTAAATGACATGGTACAAAATGATAGGAATTTGGGGGGCAATTGATTTTTATTGTCTTAGAAATTAAGAAATTTTTGTGTTCCTGTTATTGTGCATTGAAATCTGATATAGGAGGGTAGGAGTGGGGTCCAATTAAAAGCCCCATAGTTTGCCCTGATGTGTAATCAGAAAAGAGAACTCCAGTTTGGATCAGAGGAAGAGAAAGGAGTAGATGAGAAAGCCTTGGCCCTCAAGCATAACGTGGGTCGCAGAGTCCTGGGCACGAACTTGGAAAGCTGACTTGAAAACAACGTGTCAGTCATTAGATTTCACATGTGGATTTTTGAGATCACATACTGTAAAAGCTAACATTAACATTTATAATAGAGTACCGGATACAGTCTAGATTTATATCTGACTATGATACATATCGTATTATAATTCTTCTGACAATGAAGCAGGGCAGGGTGGGAATGTTCTTGATATAAAGTTGTAAAGTGACTAAAATTAGCTGTAATGAGATCCAGCCTAGGTCATCAAGAACCCCACTGCCCACTTCCCACCACAGCCTGTGGCCTAGAGTGGGCATGGGTGCCAGGGTGCACTGAGAGACCTAATGCTAGCTTTGCCTCAGGCATTAGCAGGACAATTTTGGAGCTGCAAGTTGCCACAGTGTGTAACATTCTGTGCTCTCAGAATATGCTGTTTTTTATCTTGGTTCCAAGGCCAAGATAAAAGTTGTGAGCTACACCCCCTGAAAGGCCACTTTAGCTAACTACCAAGGTATGCAGTAAGCTTGTTAGGACTTCCACAGTGCATCGTGGAGTGCCTGGCTTCAGTCCCAGCTCTATTTCTCTTCCAGCTTCCCGCTACAGGGCACTCTGGGGAGCAACGGTGATGTCAAGTGCTTGGGTCCCTGCTACTCACACGGAGGGCACGGATCAAGTTACTGGGTCCCAGTTCCTGCTTGACCAGCTCCACCAGTTATGTATATTAACCTGCGGGTCTGCAGGTGAAAGAATTCTCTCTCTCTCTCTCTCTCTCTCTCTCTCTCTCTCATTCTCTCCAGCTTTCAAGCAAGTAAAATGCATTTGAAAACACGCACACACACATGCACCGTGCCCCTCGTGTGCTTCCAGAGTTCTCCCCAGCTCAAGCCAGTACCTAACTCCTTGTGAACCGTCCATGCCCACCCTTCACGCACAGCATCTCTGCAGGGCGTGGAACACACCCTGGGGACCTGGCTTGTTCCTACATCCCCCAGCACATCTCTGCCTTTCTCTCCACCGGGCAGATTCATCATCTTCTCTGGGACTCAGGCACCTTATCTCTCACATGGGGAACAAGGTCACCTATTGCTTTTCTATCATCTCTGGATCTGGTCTCTACAGAGGAAATGTATGGCTTTGAATTTCCGTTAAAGTGTTCTGGTTCAGGAGTGTGGGAGCGGGGGTGTGTGTGGAAGCCTCCTGTCCTCTGTCCCCACAGCTCCTGGGGGGGCTCATGCAGCAGCTGCAGAGACCTCTTGGCTTACAGCGAGAATGACTTGCCAGTGAGAAAAATTTCCATTCCTTCTCTAGCTATACTGTCCCAGGAGTGTCCACAACTGTTCGCTCCCCAACTACCCACCCACCTACTGCTATAATCTCTTCACCATCCATCTAATCTCCTTGAGCAGCAAGCAGGACCATGATTTAAAAAAAAAAAAACTCACAAAAAATCATAATTCCTATGATTTGAAAGCTAAAGTAAATGCATCTCATTTTTCCCTAGAGAACCACACCATTACAAAAAAGTTCTGATTGTGAGCTCACAATTAGTCCATACACACATCTTTTCTTCTTAAATTATTTAACTTAACTTTCGCTGATTTTTGACTTCAGAGTCAACAACAGGATAATCAATAAGGCCAAGAGAGTGTGCTGATCTCTACACTTTAAATGTTGCAAAAATGTTATGCAAGTTCTGATGGATGATCTCCAGATGTAAAAATACCAACATTCCTCCAGCCTGTGTAGCAACCAGCAGTTTACCAAATACTTTACAAGAAAGCACAGCATTCTCCTTTATTAAATAACAACTCTGCCTGAAGCACGGAATTGCCATTTCCAGCACTTAGGGTCCAGAGCTGTCAAATGATTTGCCCAAGATCCCACATAAAACTCAGTCAGCTGTGCCGGCCTCTTCCTCCCCACCCGGCCCTCTCCTATTGGCGCGCCTTGGATCCCACCTGCTGTAGTTCACGCGCAGGTTTTCTGTCTTTCGCAGCAGTGCCCCTAATCAAGAATCTCCAAGTCTGAAGATTGGTTCCATGGCCCTTTCCCTAATTCATGTAGATTCAGGGTGCCTCCTAGTCTGAGTTTCAGAGGCTTTTAAGGCAGGTTGCGGGCAAATGTGCGGACAAGCAAACGCATCTTCACGCAACGCGGCTGTGTATCCTGACAACAGGGCTACTCACACCTCTGACAGCAGTCTCCGAGCCCGCCCCGCAGCGGGGGCCAACAGTGTATCTAAGTTAGACCCTCATGAACCCACTAGGGGATGGGCATCTAGCACCAGCCTTTGGATTGCCTTAAGAACCTGCATTCCACTTTTGGGGAGGGGGTAGGAAGTTGAGGGGGGCTGGAGCTGGCGTGGAATGGCGGGGGGGGGGGGGGGGTGTTGCAAGAGAAGCAGCAGCCCTCACCCCAACCCAACTTACTGAAAAGAAGTCCGATGTCCCCAGAACAGTGCTAGTCCCAACACCAAGAACGCAAGCACTGTTTTCTTAGCCATGATCTAGGGCCGCCTGAAGGCTTCACGGGCGCAAACTCCACGGGAGCCTCCACCTGCTGGTCTCCCAGTGCTGCACGAGCAGCCCGGGATTAGCCTGCCCTGCCGGCCCCGCCCCGGGCCCTACGCGCACTCTCCGGTTTGCCTAGCAAGCTGATACTACCCGCCAGAGCTGGGCTCCTCCCGTGGCTCCCGCAGTTGCGAACAGGTGCAGTGCACGTGAAAGAGGGGAACACCCTGAAGGAAATCGAGAGCCCCTGGGAAAGGTGAGCCAAGCCTTGGTGAAGGCTCACTTGAGGCCAGTCAAGCCCTCATCTTGGTTGTTCAGAGGGGTTCATAAACTTAATCCTGGTGACTCAGCGCGATGGAGAGGGAGGGGGAAGAGGAGACGGGGATCTTTGTAATAGGAACCCCTAAAGGCTAAACCTGTGTTTATCAGGACACAAACCCATGTTTATTAAAAGGCTCCCCAGCGGTGTCGCCTCCCCAAGTACCTTGTCTAGCCAGGCCCCCTCCCAGAGCGGCTCCCCACCTCACAGCTCCTACAAACCCTGTTCACTCATGCTTTAACTGCCTTCGTGGACGCCCTGCTGTGGGACACATGACCCAAAGTGTCCAGGCATCCTGTTGCTGAGGCATGTGTCAGGCTGTGAGCGACACCGGGGTGTGCTGTGGCGGCGCCCCAGTGGGGGAAAGCGGGGCTGCAGGGTCTCGGGCAGTCCTGGAGTATGCCCTGTGAGGCTGGAGAGTCAGGAAGGTCTCCCTGGTGAATAGCCTGGAAGGCAGTGGCCTCAGCCCAGACGCCCTGTGCCCTGGCTGTGAAGGGCTCCTGGTTTGTTTGCTGGAGGAACCTTTCCTTAGCAAGATGCATGAACCCAGTTTACGCCTCCCTTCTGCTGCCAGAGCCACTTCTCTCTGTGTTCTGGGCTATCACTATCCTACAGCCACATGCTTTGACCACACAGTCTAGCCTACTGCTCTCATCTCCTGAGAGACTTGCGCCTAACCCTTGAGCTTGAGTGTGTTCAGTTCCCGTGTGAAGCATCGTGGAGAGGGTCCTGCTAGAGCCTGGCCTCCAGCCAGCTCCAGCAAGGAGCAGACGTGTGAGTAAAGCCACCTGGGACTCTGAAAGGAGCCCGGCTACCAAGGGAAGGAATGTGACAAAGACACCCAGGTAAAGTGACCTTAAGTGCAAACCTACAAAAAACAATCAATCCTCTGCCTAAATTGCTGTCTGTGAAAGTAGGATCACAGAATCCAAGAGATGGGAGGGGCGATCCGGCCCCCATGTGTTTATGATGAAAGATAATTGAGGCAAAGGAGTAACTGCTGGTTTCAATAACATGGATGCAAGGGAAGATATATTTTTGACAACTTTTATTAGCATAAGATATCAGATTTTATGCACTTCACAGATAAAATTCTAAGAACATAACGGTCCTTCTCTTCCTCCCTCTGCCTTCCTTTATGCTTTTTTTTAATTATTGTGATAACATACTTTCGATTTAAGATCACAGGCTTAATGTTTCACTAAATATAATGTTAAATATATTTAACAACTGAACAAATAGAACCTAGTCATATTAGAATAGCTAAAGAAGAGAATGGAAAGTTAGAGCTGGTCCCTTTGGTGGTTGTAAACCAATCATTTTTTTCCTGCGATAGACAGTTGGGGCGGGGTTCAGTGGCTGCCAGATGTTCCTACTGCGATATCTGATATTCTGTTTAAACTGTGTGCAAACCAGAACCCCTTGATCCGCTCATCCCAACTTGACATCTGCCATGTTTCATGCAGTAAATGCCATCACCTCCATCCACTTGCTCAAGTCCCTAATCTAGACATCGTTTCTAACCCACCCTTTTCTCTCACATTCCCTTACACATCCCACTGGTTCCATTCTGTATTACTTGTCTATTACTGCCTAATAAATTATGCCAAAATCTAGACACTAAAAACAGCCATTCATTATTTCACAGATTGCATGGATCAGGAATCCAGTCATGGCCCTACTGGGTATGTCTCAGTTGTATTATGGTGTGGATATGGTTTGTCTCTCGAGAGCTTCGCGCGTTGGAGCCTTGATCTCTGGTGTGGCAATGCTGTGAGACCAGGTGTAGTGGGAGGTGTTTATGTTACTAGTGCACGCTCTGGAAAAAATAAGATAGCTCGCTTCGGAACCTGAAGTAGTTCTTGGAAGAGCCAGTGGCCTTAATCCTGCATCTGAACTGCTCTCTGGTTTTCTGTCTTGCAACCTGTCTCACTCTCATGTGCTTCTGTCACTGTGGTGTCACCTGTTATGATGTTTCCATCAGAGCTAAGTTGATGCTGATGTCATACCTTTGAATCTCCAGAACTGTGGGCCAGACATGCCTCCTTTCTTTGTAAAGCTGCATAGCTCCAGATATGTCATTTTAGGAACAGAAGACTAATACAAATTGGTAGCTGAGCTATCAGCTAGAGTGCCAGTGTTTATCTCAGGGCTCCCCTGGGGTAGAGGGACAAAGTGAGACTGGCCTTTAAGGTCATCAGAGGTTCTTAGCAAGCTTCTTGCCACACAGGCCTCTCCACTGGCTATGGCAAAACAGAGGGCTGACTTCCTCCAGGCGAGCAGTGTGACAGAATGATTCAGCATGCCCCTAAATGAACACTAGATTCCTAGAATCATCTAACCCCAAAAGTGGCATGCCCTAACTTCAGGCATTATTCTGCTTGCTAGGTTCCAACCCACATTCAAGGGGAGAGGAACTGAGCTCCAATTCCTGATAAGAAGCATATCAAAGAATTGGGACATATCCTTATATCTACCCCACTTCCAAGCACATCATCGACCCACTGCTCTGTATTTTCTGCCATCACTGTGTTTCTTTGCTCCTCCCTCATCTAAATCCATTCTTTTCATTGCAGCCCCAGATTGTTTTTAATTTTAAGCAGATTTTAAAAACCTGCTTAAAATATCAACAGGAGCATATACTTTTTATGCTTAAAATCCTTCTTTTTGGGTTTTCTCCTTTTGCCATCTCTTGGCTTTAAAGCCCCACACAGCCTGATATGTTCTTGCCATCTGACCTAATTTCTTATCATATACTCAGCATAGTATTGCGACGTTAGCTTTCCTGCCCTCTGTTCACTCCCAAGCTTACGACACTTCACTGCTCCACCTTCCACATGGGTAGAAATGGCTCATCCACTTGGACAAATTTTCACTGCTTTCCCAAATAGGGAGCTGGTTCGGTAGTGAAGCAGGTGGGACGTGAACTGACACCCGTATAGGAAGCCAGTGACACAGGCAGCAAGTTGACACACTAGACCATAACACTGTCCTCTCAATAGCATTATTGATGAGCTGAGTGAATGAATGCTCAAAAATCATTACAGGAATCTCTGGAATAGTTTAATACGCCATATTTTATTTATGTTAAGAAGTCATTCATGTTAAGTGTACAATTATTGTCATATTTTATATACCACCAAGAAAGGAAAATTATCCATCTATATTTCAATTCTAAGAAATTATACCATAGTTTCCTGTTCCAGATGTATTCAAATGTGCACATAAGAATGTGCAAAGTCCATGGAACATTAAGAATTTTACTTTACAGAATGTGTGGAGGTATTTGAAATCTAGAGTTTCCTTATAACACCAGAAATTTATAACCCAATCTTAAAAAAAAAAAAACTTCTATAAAAAACCTTGAAGCTCACCTTGATTTTATAATCTCTTATTTCCTGTCCTTCCTCAGTCCTCATGTGTTAAATATTTGCACATGTTCAAATATCACTGTGTAATATATTTGGAAAAGAACACATCTACTCATTCTTTAATTTGCCCAGAGAAAAAAACGAATTCACTGGGTATTCGTTAAACCTCTTAATGAATTGGGAAACTCTCAAGACCAATTAGACAAGCTTTCACAGTGTGCAAGTGCAAAGAGTTTGATTCGGTGGGAACTTCTGGCACTGATACCTACAGAAGACTCTGGGCCTTGCTGGCAGTGTGTGCAAAGCTCTCATGTGCCTGAAAGTGTGAAATTCCAATGTCCTAGTAATGCCAGTAACACCATTTTGCATGAAGCAGCTGGTAAAAATAGAAAAATAGCACCCTAGACTTTTAATGCTAAGTTGATGGTAACTTTTACAAGTCTCATAGGAATAAAAATAATGTGTCTGAAATGAAGGTGATTTCTGTGGGCTATGTTAAACTGGATGGATGGATGGATGGATGGATGGATGGATGGATGGATAGAAAAATGATGATCGGTATCTGTGAGAACACAAGTTATAAAGAAGCCACAGTGCAAAGTCCAATGTTCTGCCCAAGTCCAGAAGTCACTTTGCAAAATACATTTGCCGCCTCACAACATCCTAATAAAGTAAATAAAGTAATAAAGTAAATAAGACCCCTGCCATCCCCTATTCAAACAAAGTCATCCAATCAGAAAGCATAGGAATACAAAGTTATGTCTAGATTTGACAACCCTAGATTTATGTGCACCTAAAAACAGAAACTCGGAGTACAGATGGGAAGAGCTAACAGAACAAGACCTAAGTGTGCATGGCAAAAAGCTGAAAAACCCAAACACATTAGAATAATGGAAACAATAAAAGAGAAAAAAAATGGGCAAAGAAATACAAAACAAAGTTAAAGACAGAAGGTCCATTGTGTGAACTGATATCAGGCATAAAAAATAACAAAGTCCTAATACCTTCTGTAATACAGTGTACCTTGGAATCATTATGTTAGTGCAAGAAGCCAGATTAAAAAGTCACCTATTGTAGGATTTTCTTGATATGAAATATCCAGAATATTCATAAACCCCATGGAGAATATAAACTCCATGGAGCAGAAAGTAAATCATTAGTTGCCTTAGGCTGGAGGGACAGGAAAATGAAAAGTGACTTCTTAATGAGCCTGAGTTTCTTTTGAAAATATTTTGGAACAAAGTAACGGTAATGGTCACTCAACATTGTGAATGTCCTAAATGCCATCACATTGTGCACTGTAGAATAGTTAAATTGGAGATTTTATGTGAACGGGATAAAAAAAAGTTTAAAATATTCCAAATTTGTTGGAAAATCCAATTAAAATATGTAAATCACTAGTAAGA